TTGCTTTCAGAATTGGCAGTTCCTTCAAGTAGAAAAGTGCCCCAAATGCCAGGCCCACCTATTGTTGGCTTTTTTCCTTTCTATATGTTGGTAATTTTTTAAAATAGCCAAACTAATGAATATGAAATGGTGCCTTTCCAAATTTTAGTAATTTTCACTGTTTTGAAAACTCTTTGATACCTTCTAACAGATGTTTTACAAATTTTTTCTAATTTTTGTATTTTAATCTAATCTTATTCTTGTAATGAGAATGGTAGTTCAGGTGTTACATTCCAAGCCACAACAAATATACTTCTACATAAATATTGAGAGTTTTGCACTTTTTTTTAATTTTTTTTTTTTTAATTTTTTTATTTCTAGGAGAGAGAGAGAGAGACAGTGTGAGCAGGGGAGGGTCAGAGAGAGAGGGAGTCACAGACTGAAACAGGCTCCAGGCTCTGAGCTGGCTGTCAGCACAGAGCCTGATGCGGGGCTCGAACCCACGAACTGTGAGATCATGACCTAAGCGAAAGTCGGACGCTTAACCGACTAAGCCACCCAGGCGCCCCAGTTTTGCACTTTTTTAAGAGTCAGATTTATTGAGGTATAATTTACATGCAGTAAAATTTTAACCCTTTTAGGAATGTGTAGTTAAATGAGTTTTGACTAAGAGTTGGGTAACCATAACAACATGTACTAAATGTTTTATCATTCCAAAAGCTACTTTGTGCCCTTTTGTAGTCAGTCACCTTGCCTTTCCCTTAGCCCCTGGCAGTCACTGATCGGATCTGTCCCTATAAGTTTTGTCTTCACTTAGTGCCGTTTATTTATTTTTTAATGTTTTATTTATTTCTTTTTTAAAATAATTATTGTCAAGTTGGTTTCCATATAACACCCAGTGCTCATCCCTACAAGTACCCTCCTCCATGCCCATCACCCCCCTTCCCCTGCCCCCCACCCCCATCAGCCCTCAGTTTGTCACTGAGTGCCATTTAAATGGATTCATAGAGTGTGTAACCTTCTGTACCTGGCTTCTTTCATTTACCTGTTTTTGAGATTCATCCATGTCCCTACATTTATCAGTCAGTAGTTTGTTCCTTTTTATTGCTGAGTAATATTCTACATATGGATGTATCACATAATCCATTCACTAAATGGTGGACATCTGGATTATTTCCAGTTTTTAGCTCTTATGGATAAAGCTGTTATAAACATTCATGTACTGGTCTTTAATGTTTTCATTTCTTTAGGTAAATACAAAAAAAGGATTTCTGGGTCATATGGTAAACATATATATGTAAATATCATAAGAAGCTACCAGACTTTGTCCCAAAGTGGCTGTACTTTGTATTCACATTTGCAAGTATATGTGAGGTCTATTTGAATTTTGTATTGTAATTTTAACTGCTTTAAAAAAAAATTGAGGGGGGCGCCTGGGTGGCTTAGTCGGTTAAGCGTCCGACTTTCGCTTAGGTCATGATCTCGCGGTTTGTGGGTTCGAGCCCCGCGTCGGGCTCTGTGCTGACTGCCAGCTCAGAGCCTGGAGCCTGTTTCAGAGTCTGTGACTCCCTCTCTCTCTGACCCTCCCCTGCTCACACTGTCTCTCTCTCTCTCCTAGAAATAAATAAAACATTAAAAAAAATTTTTTAAATAAATAAAAAAATAAAAAAAATTGAGGGAGGGGATATAGTTGATGTCTTGGAATTTTTTTCCATTCTAAATTAGGTACTTAGTAGGATCTTGTGATTTTAATTTGTAGTTCCCTGACAGCTAATAATGTTGAACATCTTTTCTTGTGCTTATTTACAAGTTATGTCTGTCTTTGATAAAGTATACATTATTCAGTTTTTTGCCAATTATATTTTAATGAGTTATTTTTTAACGTATTTTAAGAGGTCTTTATATATTCTGGTTACATGTCCTTTATTTTTAGACATGTTGTTTTGGAGATATTTTCTCCCATTTTGGAGATATTTTCTCCCATTCAATCTGTGGCTTGTGTTTTCATTATCTAACTCTGTCTTTTGAGGAGCAGGAGCTTTTATTTATTTATTTTTTTTTAAAGTAGGCTTCATGCTCTGCACAGAGCCCAGCACTGGACTTGAACTCACAACCGTGAGATCAAAACCTGAGCTGAGGTAAAGAGTTGGACACTTAACTGACTGAGCCACCCTGGTGCCCCAGCTTTTATGTTTAATGAAATCTAGTTTTTCTTTTTTTTTTTTCTTAAGGTTTGTGATTTTTTTTGTTCTACATCTCTGCCTAAGCCAAGATCACAAAAAATTTTGTCTGTTTTCTTCTATCAGTGATACAGTTTTAGGTTTTACATTTAGGTCTGTGATCCATTTTAAGTTAATTTTTTCTATGTTGTATGAAGGTTTCTTTTTTATATGGAGGGCTGTTATTCTAGCATCATTTTTTGAATAGACTGTTCTTTCTTCATTGACTTACCTTGTCATCTTTGTCAAAGTCAATCAGCATTATGTGTACGGGTCTATTTCTGGATGTTTCCTCTGTTCTACTGACCTATATATATATCCTTTCTCCAGCAGTCTTGTACTTAAAGTCTTATAATTATTATTTATGCATTTTTTACTATCATACTGACTTATGAAATTCAATTAATATAGCAAATCAACTACCTCTTACAAAAAATGTTAGGTAATTGAGTAATTATTGAACATGTGAATTCATCTGTAATCAGTCATTTCATTTGCACATAGCAGTGTACTCAGTTTCCATAAAACATTTATTTGGATGTTGCCAGTGATAAGTGTCACATACTGCTATTAGGAGGAAATTGGTGCAAGACTCTCAAAAAGTAGTTTATTGATTTCTGGTGGATGGAAATGAACTATGACTCATTAATTCTACCCCTTAAACTTACCCTGGAGAAATTGGCACATATACATAAGAGGACAGGTACAAGCATGTTTATTATAGCATTATTTGAAATACTGAGACACTGGAAATAACCTGGGTATATTTTAACAGAAAAATAGTTGAACAAATTATAGGATGATAAAGCATACTATATAGAGGGGCACCTGGGTGGCTCAGTTGGTTGAGTGTCTGACTTCGGCTCAGGTCATGATCTCACTGCTTTTGAGTTTGAGTTCCCTGTTGGATTCTGTGTTAACAGCTTAGAGCCTGGAACCTCCTTTGGATTCTGTGTCCCCCCTCTCACTGCTTCTCCCCCACTCATGCTCTCTCTCTCTCTCTCTCTCTCTCAAGAATCAATAAGCATTAAAATTTTTTTTAAAAGGATACTATATAGAAGTCAAAATGAATGAAGTAGATCTCTGTATGGCAGCATAGAACTCAAAGGCAATGTAAAATTTTAAAACAGTACAAATAAAATAGGAACAATAGAAAAACATGTACTAGAAAGATACTGAATATATTAAAGTGGTTTCTAGAAAGGAAAGGAGCATGGGAATGGTCAGAGGAACAAAAAAGGAACTTCTTGTGTATCTGTTATTGTACTTTGAAAAAATGTTTAAGCAAATGTGACATTGTTATTCCCACTACTCAGAATGCAAATGCTATTTTACTACTTTCTATAATTTTCCTCCCTTTTTTCAAATTAAAAAACCAAAAGTACATGTAAATAGGTTTTTTATTTAAAAAAATAGGAGGGTAAGCATCCTAATAGTTTGAATTGATATATAAGAAATTGTTTTCTTAAGTTTATTTATTTTGAGAAAGAGTGAGTGGGGAGAGGCACAGAGAGAGGGAGAAAGAGAGAATTCCAAACAGGATCCACACTGTCAGCACGGAGCCCAGTTGTGGGGCTCAAAATTATGAACCATGAGATTATGACCTTAATCTAAACCAAGAGTTGGATGCTTAACCGACTGAACCACCCAATAGCCCTTATAACAAATGCTTAATAATTTCTTCATGTGTCATTATCAAGTATTTATTGAACATTTATTCTGGCCTGGAAACTGTGAAATACTAGCGGCACTATAATTAGTAAGAAATTACCCCATCCCAGGGGCTGAATCTAGTTAGTGATTCATTTGGGGGATGATGGAAGGAGTAGGTAGTACACATTCATAAGGGGACAGCATTACTTAGTTGTGTGTAGTACTTACAGTAAGACTTCATATTTGTTAATTAAGTGAGTCATGATATTTTACTGGCTTTGAAATATCAGATAATATTAAGGAATGACATGGGAATTGTTGTTTGATTAAATGGGGACATAAGTTGGGAAAAAAAGGAAAACCCGGTTCTGATAAATAATTTCCATCTTTACTGTATCTCTGCGCCCCTTTGCAGATTCTAAAGACTAAGAAATTAATTTTTAAAAATAATGAGATTTGCATATAATTGTTATTACTTTACATACATATACTTGATGAAAATATTCTACACACATTTTGATTATGCTGAATTTTTAGGTCCTTTTTAAGCTTAACTTGGATCAGGAATTAAATGTTGTAAATCAGTCATTTGTTCCAACGAAAATAAACATTTACTAAATGCCACACTTGTAATTTCATATATCAGTTCTCATGATACATTCATTTTTAAAATAAAAACTAATTCAAAAAGGAGGCACCCAAGAATGAACAAATTACATCTGATTTGAGTACACTTGGGTTGGTTAAACCGTGGGGTTTTCCCCCCATTGTTGAAATCACATTTATATTTGTAACTGTATGTATTTTAAATATCATTTATTTAAAATAAATTATACCTAATTAAAATTTCTTTCCATAGTACAGCATTTCAGTGGTTATAAGCATCAGTACTGTGAGATGATAAACAAATACAAGGCTTACAACCCTAAAATTTTGAGCAACTTTGAAGTCTGTATCTCTCCTTTTGGAAATCTATACACATTAAGATGCTAAAGATACTAAGAAGTCATATAGTAATATTTCTCAGACTTATTTGATCACAGTTATCTTTTTCATATATCACCTAATAACAGCATGATTTGGGAAATGTTAATATATTCTTGTATATAATGTCTATTATATATACAAATAACTATTTCTGTTTTAAAGCAGGACAAAAGGAGCAAGCTGTGGAATGGTATAAGAAAGGTATTGAAGAACTGGAAAAAGGAATAGCTGTTATAGTTACAGGACAAGGTAAGATTTTATTTACATTTGTTTGGTAGCCATACCAAATTATATTCCCATGATTGCCCTTATTTCAGATCCAGCTAACTTACTAAAATTATTTGACAGATTTTTAAGTGTTATTATTGATGTGTGTAGACTTATAGTTAATGCTTTATTACCTATGTTCAAACTTGATTATGATCAAACTCCATTGCCTATAGCAGTCAGACAAAAACCAGCATATTACTTATGTCCTCTTTGGACTCACTGTTGGAGATGTTTTAGCCTCATTTTTAGCTCTGTTTTGAAACTGGTCCTTCCCTCATTGTCAAGGCAGGGAAGGAGCAGTTAATCAGACTCCCTTTTGTGTTTGTGGGTAATGCTTGACTGCATGTTAGAATATGAGCTGTAAATGTCTTACTTTGATTCACACTTGACATTTTAAAACTAAAGCAGTTATTTTTCATCTTTCCTATCACCTAAAATAAAAATTAGAGTCCGATATTTTCTTTAAATATGTAGGAAGCATTTATTGCACATGTGCTATGTGCCCAAGCATCATTGTATGTGCTTCATATGTGTTACCTCTTAATTTTCACCACAACCGCACACTCTGAGGCTGCTGCTATTATCCTTACTTTTTACGTAAATAACCTTCAGTACAAAGAAGTTTGGTAACTTGCCTAAGGTCTCATAGCTAGCAAGTGGTAGGTAGAGTCAAGATTTGAACCCAAGCAATCTGACTTCGAGCCTGAATTCTAAAATACTATACTGTGAATATTGTGTAGTATGTGGGCATCACTATTAAGTAAGTAAAATACTTTAGTTATCATAGCTAAAATAAATTCAGAAGGAAAAATTAAATATTCTGAGAACCTTAGTCTTATGCATCAGTCCACCCAGTGGATGTTTGTTATCTAGTTGGCTGATATCTACTCCTTATATCAGCTCACCCCCAATAATTACAACATGTCTGATATCTGCCAGGTTTTTTTCTCTGCCCTTTTTATTTTGACTGCTTCTCTAGCTACTACTTACTTTGACTACTTCTCTGGTGTCCTGCAGAAAAGAGAGCAGAATAGAACAAGTAAATATGGAAGGTTAGGCCTTTGAGACTTTTCACCAATTTATGAGCATGACTTTATGAATTATGTACAGAATGTATGTCATTTTGTCAGTTGTGCAGAAGAAGAGCTAGAAGAAAATGAATTATAAGAAAATTAGTACTGGGACGCCTGGGTGGCTCAGTCAGTTGATCGTCCGACTTCGGTTCAGGTCATGATCTCACTGTTGTGGGTTCGAGCCCTGCGTAGGGCTCTGTGCTGACAGCTCAGAGCCTGGAACTTCCTTCAGATTCTGTGACTCCCTCTCTCTCTCTGCCCTTTCCCTGCTCATGCACTGTCTCTGTCTCTCAAAAAAAAAAAAAAGGTAAAAAAAATTAAAAAAAATAAAATTAGTACTTCACTGAATCGAAAATGCCTTTGATTGTATCACTAAGAAAATGTGTCAGTTAAAATATGACACATTCTTTTCTCATCATCACTTTGAATTTGACTTTTACCTTGTTGAATGTACTGTCTTCATCCTATTTAGACAAAGCTATAACAGCAATATTAATATCAATGACCAACTTTGTTCATGCACAGGCAGTGAAAAACTGTGGTATGTCTGCAGCCCGGCCGATAGCTTGAGTAAGTTGCTACTGGTTGTAAAACCCATCTCAATTTCAAAGATTTTTAAATGTAGGGAGAAAGATATGCCTCAAAATCCATGAATTAACACATGAAATCCATGAAATACAACAGTAGATCTGAAAGCATCAAAAGGAATGAAACTGAATTTTTAAAGATACTGTTTTCACTATAAAGCCTGACTCCCCATGAGATTAGTTGGGATAATATTTTATCTTCCTTTCTTTTTTGTTAAGTTTATTTATTTTGAGAGAGAGAGACACACACAGTGAAAGGGAGGTACAGAGAGAGGGAGTGAGAGAATCCCAAGCAGGCTCCGCAGTTAGAGCCTGATGTGGGGCTTGAACCCACGAACTGTGAGATCATGATTTGAGCTGAAACCAAGAGTCAGACACTTAACCAGCTGAGACACCAGGGTGCCCCAATAATATTTTATCTTGAAGTAATATTAGCAGGGAAATGTAGATGCTTTCATTTTTTTCCTCTTTGTTCTTTCAGGTGAACAGTGTGAAAGAGCTAGACGCCTTCAAGCTAAAATGATGACTAATTTGGTTATGGCCAAGGACCGTTTACAACTTCTAGGTATCAGTTAATGAATTGTATAACTAGAATGAGATGTATTTGAAATGTGTGTTCAGTGAAACTTTAATATTAGATGGAGATAGATCAAAGATCTTAAAAATGTGTTCTAGGCTTTTTTCCTAACTTAAAGAAAATTTCTGACATATACAAAATAACAGAGTATAATGAATTAATTATCCATCATTCAGCTCTAATAGTTATCAACTCCTAGTCAGTCTTGATGTATCTATATTCAAAGGCTGGCAAATTACAGCCCATGGGCTAAACCCAGTTCACTGCCTATTTTTATAAGATGGCACATAGCTACTCATTCCTGTAGAGACTGTCTGGATGCTCTGATGCTACAGTGACAGTGGAGTAGTTGATACAGAGATCATAAAGCTCTCAAAGGCTTTTGATATATAGCTTTTTAAAATATTTTAATATTTACTCTCTGGCTTTTTACAGAAAAAGTTTGCCAACTCTAGTATACACACACACACACACACACACACACACGACAAACACACACACACGCTACTCACTTCCCCCCCTTCATATTATGTTGAAACAAATTCTCGACACTTTATTTCGTTTATAAGCATCTCCTATTTTACTTCTTTCTTTTTTTTTTTTTATTGTAGTTTACTGTCAAGTTGGTTTCCATATAACACCTAGTGCTCATCCAAAAAGTGCCCTCCTCCATGCCCATCACCTCCCTCCCGCTCTCCCCTACCCCCATCAACCCTTGGTTTGTTCTCAGTATTTAAGAGTCTCTTATGGTTTGCCTCTCTCCCTCTCCTATTGTATTTCTAAAAAAGATACTTGAAAAATAAAATTATCAATGGGGTGCCTGGGTGACTCAGTTGGTTAAGCGTCAGACTTCGGCTCAGGTCATGATCTCGCGGTTCGTGAGTTCGAGCCCCCCATCGGGCTCTGTGCTGACAGCTAGTTCAGAGCCTGGAGCCTATTTCAGATTTTGTACCTCCCTCTTTCTCTGACCCTCTCCTGCTCACACTGTCTCTCTCTCTCTCTCTCTCTCTCTCAGAAATAAAATAAAAAAACATTTAAAAAAATTAAATAAAAATAAAATTACCAAATGCCATTGTCACATATAAAAAATAACCAATATTTCTTTTAATATTAACAAAAAAATAATAGCCAAATAAATGATTAGTGTCCAACTAGAATTATACGTAATATATAATATAATGTAATATAACACATAATAGATAATATAATGTTTAGTTATCTCATAATTTAATAAGTTAGTATTTTTCTGGTAATTTTTTGAATCAGGTTCTCCAGAAGATTCATACAATATGTCTCTTTTAATATACAAGTTCATCTGATAGGTGGTTGTATTTTTATTTGTCAGTAGTTCTGGCATTTAGTGATATTAGTAGCAGTTGATGACTGATGCCTAGTGATATAATTCTGTCATTCTTTCTGTATTTATCAGCCAAATATGTCTATAAAGAGAAACTTTTCATCTCCTATTTGAAGGTGTAGGTTTTAAACATACTTTTTAAGATAAATTTACCCCTAAAACAAAGTGGAGCTAAAATCCATCCTTCTTGGGTGATTCTCTACCATAACTTGTTTTGATAGAAATATGTATTTGGTAAATGGGTAGACCTTATATATTTATTGCTCTGTGGTTTGTGGTAAGTTATTTAGCATATTTGAACCTTTTTCATCTCATTTATAATATGCTAATAGATAATATTTATCTCACCATATTTGTGACAGTGAATTATTGAAGTAACCTAACCAAAGTATTCAAAAATGTTGGTTTTTATTCATCTCCTTACCTATGTGTAATCACCACCTTTTGTGGAAAAATATTTATACATACATACATAAATATTTTCATTCATTCATTCTTACATGATCCATTGTGGTGTAAAATTTTTGCCCCCACATAGGTGAAAAAGAAGCCTTTAATGTTTTCAGGTAGTTAACAAGGCAGTGTTCCCCGGCTTCTTTGGCTGACAGAGTTTGCCTTCTCACTTACTGTGTGAAGATCATTACTGTCTCAAGTAAAATGGAATATAGTACCAAAGGTTATTGTAGTAAAATAATTGTTCTATTTGGTATTGCCAATGTTTTAGCGAAAATGCCTTTCACTATATGTACAAAGTATCATGTATATGATGCAGATTAAGTTCAGTTATGGAACTTGTAGCAACATGTTTCAAATAGAATAATTAGGAGTTGGTTGATTTCTCTTTTGAAGATGTGATACGATAAATTATTGGAGGCATCTCGTGTATTATAGACTTATCTTTTAAGGTGGCTTTGTAATTTCTTGTGTTATTAAAAGAGAGGCTGAAAAGAGGATCTATAACATGAAGCTAGGCATTATGTTTTGGATATCATTGTCTATTGTCATCTTCAAAAGTGCTGTGTTCCTGTTCACAAAAGATGTTACTTTAAAAAAGAAGAGGTGGAATAGATGTCTCAACATATTCCCGTCCTCTGAGATCTCAGAAAGTCTAGGACTGTATATACCCAAAGACAGTAAAAAAAAAAGCTGTGTACATGTGCATAATGGAGCATATTTATATACTACGTGTTGGTTAAGAAATGGAGCTTTTCAGAGGTGGGATGCCTAGTAGTTATCTAATTAGGATGGAGAATCATACTGAGAGTTCCCCATACAGATTGGAGAGGATGCAGACTCTCTCATAAAATGGGGAGAGTTCATGTATATTAGATACCTTCAAGTTAGTAAGCCTTTGAGCAAAGCTTAACCATAAAACCTGTTATAGATAATTTTGGCATACTTGGAGGTTACCCTTCTATAAAAAAATAAATAGCTTCATTCAACATCCATTTATTAAGTCCTTATTCTGTATCACGTACAGTGCCAATAATATTAACTGCATTTTTTTAGTAATTCAGCAAAATTTCTTAATGTTTATTTTTGTAAGAGAAAGACACAGAGTGTGAGCGGGAGAGGGACAGAGAGAGAGGGAGACATAGAATGCGAAGCAGGCTCCACGTTCTGAGCCGTCAGCAGAGAGCCCAGCATGGGGCTCGAACTCTATGAGTCATAAGATCATGATCGGAGCCAAAGTCGGATGCTTAACCAACTGAGCCACCCAGGCACCCCTTGAATTTTTTTTTAAGTTTATTTATTTATTTTGAGGGAGAGAGAGCGTAAGCCGGGGAGGATAGAGAGAGAGAGAGAGAGAGAGATTGATTCATTTTCAAGCAGGCTCTCCGGTGTCAGTACAGATGGGGCTTGAATTCACAAATCTGAGATTATAACCTGGGCTGAAGTCCAGCACTTAACCTCCTGAGGCACCCAGGCACCCCTCAGCAAATAATTTTTGGGTGATTACATTGTTCTAGGTATAAATGTTAGGATATAGACAATGATCAGCCTTCATAGAAGTTTTATTCCAGCAGGGGGAAGACTGACAATAGGGGATAACCATAAAAAAAAAAAAAAGTTATACAGCATGTTGGAAGAAGATAAATATATGAAAAAAAAGGAAAAGTAGGGGTGCCTGGGTATCTCAGATGATTAAACATCCGACTTCGGCTCAGGTCATGATTACACAGTTTGTGGGTTCAAGCCCTGTGTTGGGCTCTGTGCTGACAGCTAGCTCAGAGCCTGGAGCCTGCTTCCGATTCTGTATCTCCTCTGACCCTCCCCTGCTCACTCTGTCTCTCTCAGAAATAAAGAAAACATTAAAAAAATTAAAAGAAAAAAAAAGGAACAGTAAAACATAGTAGTGGGGATTAGGAGTGAATGGGAGGTAGTTTGGGCTTTTGGTTTTAAATACGATGGTCAGATACACCTCTTTGAAAAGATGACATGAGTTAGCCATGCAGGTTGCTGGGAGAAGAATGGTCCAGAGAGAGGAGCTGATATAAAACTTTAAGAAAACATAGCTGGTGTGTTTAAGAAGAAACAAAGAGGCCATTGTGCCCCAACAAGGAGAGTATGGTAGAGAGGAGGTCAGAGATCTGATGGTGCATGAGGGTTCATCCTAACAAGCAGGGCCTTATAGGCCACCATAAAGATTTGAGCTTTTACCATATCTGAAAAGAGAAGCAGTTACAGGATTTTTAGGAAGGGAATGACATAATCTGACTTTTTAAAAATTTTTTAAAAATTTATTTCTGAGAGAGAGAGAGACAGTGTGAGCAGGGGAGGGTCAGAGAGAGAGGGAGACACAGAATCTGAAGCATGCGCTAGGCTCATAGCTGTCAGCACAGAGCCTAATAGGGAGCTTGAACCCACGAATTGTGAGATCATGACCTGAGCTGAAGTCAGATGCTTAATTGACTGAGCCACCTAGGTGCCCCTCTGACTTAAGTTTTAGAAAGATCACCTTGCTGATAGACTCCAAGCGTAGAACCAGGGAGAACGAGTTGGATCACTATTGAATTGTACTAAGCTAGGAGAAAAATGGTGGAGGCTTGGACCTGGGTGATATGAGGAGAAATTGTAACAAGTAGTTGGATTATAATTGTATTTGAAGGTTGACCAGATAGATTTACTGACAGATTGGTTATAGTGTTCCTCTCTTTAAGGTCACATATATTGGGTGAGGCAGACACATAAATAGATAAATTGTCATTACTGCAGGATGGAGATCTACAAATATTTTATAGGGGTGGAAAAATAGGTGTCTGAGAAATATTCCTGGAAGAAGTGATTTTAAGTTTATTTTGAGAGAGAATAAGCAGGGGAGGAGAGAGAGAATCCCAACCAGGCTCTGCACTGTCACCACAGAGCCTGATGCTGAGCTCAAACTCATGAACTGTGAGATCATGACCTGAGCCAAAACCACATGTCAGACACTTAACTGACTGGGGCACCTAGGAAGAAAAGACATTTCAGGAAGAAGTATGAACAAAGGTTCGGGATAAGAAATAGCATGACAAGTAGGGAAGGGTGCTGGGGGAGAAGTGAGTACAGGATTGCTCCAGTGTAAGAGATGTAGGCAGATCTTGGAAGGCGTTAATGTTATATAAAAAAATCTGAGGGGCGCCTGGGTGACTCAGTTGATTAAGCATCCGACCTCTCCTCAGGTCATGATCACACGGTTTGTGGGTTCAAGCCCTGCATCGGGTTCTGTGCTGACAGCTCAGAGCCTGGAGCCTGTTTCAGATTCTGTCTGTCTGTCTCTCTCTCTCTCTCTGCCCCTCCCGCACTCATGCTCTGTTTCTCTCTGTCTCAAAAATAAATAAAACAAAAAAATAAAAAAAAAGAAATCTGAGAACTGATCTGTGGGCAATGGGAAGCTGCGAAAGGGTCTTAAACAGAAGAATCATGTGGTCAGATTTTCCTTTTAAGTGGATGACTTGGATAGTTGTGTGGGAACCAAGAAGCAAGGTGATGGTTTTATTTGAAACCATTAATAAATCTATATAACCTTAGTGATTCCAAACAGAAGCATTAATCCAAGTTTACTTTCTTTAACAAAAATGAATTGGAACAAGTTCACATTAGCAGTATAGTATTATTGTGTATATGTGTGTTTCCATACATATAAATCTAAACCCTACACACCAAATCAACTTCTGTGGTTTTCTATTCCTAGCTATTAGTTATCAAAACCAAGGATTTAGTTTCTTTATTTTTACTATGTAACAAATGTTTATGTGATCTTCTTGTTATATTTCATTGAAGGGAGTGTTAATTGATAAAGAAGATACTTACAAATTAGTTTTTTTCTATTTATGTCTATTACCAACATAAATGGTTTCTTTCTCAGTATGGTGATTTGAAGAGTATTATCATTGAGAAAAATCAGATGACCTATCTGTTAACTAACAACAACAACAAAAAGCTCCAAAGTATATTGTATCAGCCAGTTCTAGGATACAAAAACAGTTCAGTACTTTGTGCTTTGTGCAGAAAGGGTAGCTGCTATTTAACCTGTCCCAAAGGCATGTGTGGTTGTACCATAAACCAAGCATGGCGCCTGCTTGTCTGACCTTAGAAATGAAAGGTTTAGGAGAGTTACTATATATGTGCTACATTTTTTCGTGGATTCATTGACTTCCTAGTACAGAAAAGAATCAATATGACAGTTGGGAGTACTGCCACAAAAGAAATATGGTAAGAATTGGGCCCCTATTATGAGTAGGGGCACACAGCAGGTACTTTCTGTATATTATTTTGTTTAATCTTTGAGACTCTTGGAAAACTGAGGCTAAAGCAAGTTCATGCTGGTAAGTGGTAGAACAGAGTAAACAGGGTCAACTAGCAGTATGGATGACTTGAATGGGGAAATGATAGTGCAGCAGCTGTATAGAAGGGCAAGGTAGCACAAACTGGTAACCTCTTGGGCTTCAGGTGCTAGACATAGAGACCTGGTTCTTGAGAGGATTTGTCGTTATTTGAATTTGAGGGTAGGAGTGAAATAATCTTTTTTTTTCTTTTTTAAAATTTATTTATTTTTGAGAGAGAGAACAAGTGAGAAGGGGAGAGAGGGAGAGAGAGAGAGAGGATCACAAGCTTGAACCCATGAACTGTGAGATCACGACCTGAGCTGAAATCAAGAGTTGTATGCTTAATTGACTAAGCCACCAAGGTGCCCCTATACAATCATTTTTAAAAAAATATGTTTGTATTGTAAAAAAAAATTAAAAACAATATGTGTTGTAAGTTGCCAACCATTTTTAATAAGTATCTGGATGATAAAAACCATATTCATTTCTTCATGATGTTCTCCCTACATAATGATGTGGATATATTAGATACTCAGAAAATATTTGCTGGTGATAGTGATGATCTGAAACGTGCTTCAGGTTACAAAACCTATGTAAAGCATATTTTGAAAATAGCTAGTTGTGAATTTCTGTTGCTTATTTTAATGTCTCAGTTTTTACTAATTATATTTTTAAGATAATTTTATATAAATGCCAAAACCCTTCATCTTCTAACACCTTGAATTATTTTTCATTTTCACATGGACATCCTATTTTTTCATCGTGTGTCTTTTTCTTTTCATTTATTTTGTTCTTTTTTACCTGCCTCTGTTGCATAGAGAAGCTGCAACCAGTTTTGCAATTTTCCAAGTCACAAACGGATGTCTATAATGACAGTACTAACTTGACATGCCGCAATGGACATCTGCAGTCAGGTGGGTTTAGGTTTTAACTAACATGTAAAATAATAAAGCTTGCATGCAGAACAGAGTCCTGTGTAGCCTGGTAATTTTGATTTGATTTTATAATGGTAGATTTCACTGGCTTTTGTTTTCACAGGGCTGTATTGAAATTACAGTATCCCTGTCATTCATGGTATATAAATATGTAGCAAATAGGATATAACCATTCTCAACATGCTTTATTTGCTTGTTTTGCAACTTCCTATTTTTTTAGATTATAAAATATGAAAGTTCATTTTTCTAAGCTATTAAAATATTCTTTTATTTCAGTATTTGTGGTTTTTTCATGCATACCTGTACCAAGTTTTCATGATGTGATGTTTTTTAAGGCAGAAATTTTAATTTTTTTGTTACATACCAATATTAATTGCATGTACTTAATTCTACAATTAATTAGAATTCCTATGCATGAATGTTTTATCATAGTACCTTAGGAAAAATTTGAAGCTGAGGTCACATAGTGCGGGGACACGTTAGAATACTGACTATTCTTGACTATAGGTTAAATTTGTTTTCCACAAACTTTTGGGTATCAACTCCTGCAGAAGATTACAACAGATCATTTTCTAAGTTCTCTGACATCTTGGCTAGTTTTATTGGTGACTTTTTCAGCCTTAATTTCATGTCCAGGGCTTAAATTTTATTAAAGTAAACATTGCTTTGTTCAATTTGTAGCAGAAAAACCTTAGTTTAGACTATAAGACAACTGTATTCTTTATTCTTATGTAATACAAAACCTTCAAGTCTTCAATAAAGAAGAATTAAGGTAAGTGGACTGGAGACCATACATCATCAACTCTTTCCCTTCTGGCTTTACTTCTCTCTTATGGAATTCTCATACTGGTTTGGTCTTTTAGTACAGAGCCCCTTGTGATTGGCTGTATTCCTTTTCCTATTCCTGATTAAATGATTAAACTTTTTTTTAAAAAAGGTTTATTTATTTTTGAGAGAGAAAGAGAGGCAGAGTGCAAGCAAGCGAGGGCCAGAGAAAGGGAGACACAGAATCTGAAGCAGGCGATGTGGGACCTGAACTCCTGAATCACAAGATCATCGCCTGAGCCGAAGTCGGACGCTTAACCAATGAGCCACCCCACCCAGGCATCCTCTTCCTGTACATGATTTAAAATACCATTTCTAGTATAGAAATAAATACTGTGCCTGTTTCTCTTAGCACAGCTATGAAGAGCTGATATTTTCATAAGGAACTTTTTTTCAAAAGAAAGAAATGTAAGAATGCACCACATATTAAATAAGTTTCTAAGATAGGTATTTGAAATCCTAATAATCCACCAATGTAATAGCAACATCAGCTCTATCCCTGAAGAGCTGGTATGCCTTTCCCTTATTATCTTGCTTCTCTTCTACTTCATTTTACATGTGAGATCCCAGTGTATTTTTCTGCCATGCAAGAAACCCAAAACAAAACAAAACAACTTTCTCTTCCTGAGACCTGTGTTAAAAAATCAAACTAGCTTATTTCAAATCCCTAGTGATCTGTTTTATTCAGTTTTCTTGATGGGGGTACTTACTAGTGCATAGCTAATTTATGCAGCACTGGTATTTGATACCCATTAAGCCCTAGTCAATGAGCTTGGTTACTCAGGCCTGTTTTACTAGTGTCACACACTCCTGGAATATTCTGTGATGTTTCACTTGGATGAGTTACTTCATCTCTCTTAGGAAATAGTTATGCCAAAGTCGCTTACTACTTCAGTGTGTTACCTATGGTGTCCAGTTTTCAACTCAAGATTTCTAGACCTGCAAAGAAATAAGAAAGTTTTACCGTAACTTAAAAGAATCAGGGGCAGCTGGGTGGCTCAGTTGCTTAAGCATCTGACTCTTGATTTCAGCTCAGGTCATGATCTCACAGTTTGCACTGACAGCAAGGAGCTTGCCTGGGATTCTCTCTCTCCATCCCTCTCAGCCCCCCCCCCCCATTCTCTCTCTCCAAAATAAATAAACATTTAAAAAATTTTTTAATGTTTTTTTAATTTTTAAAAAAAAAATATTTCTGAGAAAGAGAGAGAGACAGCTTGAGCAGGGGAGGGTCAGAGAGAGAGGAAGACACAGAATCTGAAACAGGCCCCAGGCTCCTAGCTAGCTGTCAGCACAGAGCCTAATGCAGGGCTCAAACCCACGAACTGTGAGATCGTGACCTGAGCTGAAGTTGGACGCGGCGCTCCTAAAAAAATATTTTTTAAGAAAAGAATCAGTCAGTAGAACCAGACTCTTGAATGGGCTCAGTTGTTGATGTAGCAAAGACTTCAATGATGTAGCAAAGACTTCAGAGCAGCTATTATAAATGTGTTCAAAGAATTAAAGTATGGCATTAGTTAACAAACCTGCAATCTTAGCACATAACAAACTATACAATAAAAATAATGGAAATTCTAAAATTGGAAAGTATAGTTCCTAAAATAAATTTACTAGATAACCTCAATAGCATATTGGAGATGTCATATGTAAGATTCAATGACTTTGAACCTATATCAATAGAAACTACTAAATCAGGTGACACCAACATTGTCAGAAAGCATATGCATGATTGCATAGGGCCAGGGGCAGTAAGTGATGGAGTGCAAGGAAACTTGGCTGTGATGGCAACATTTTGCATCTTGATTTTAATGGCTATTTCATCTTTTTTTAAAATCTTTTTTTCCTTAATTATTTTGAGAGAGAAAGTGTGAGGGGGGAGGAGCAGAGATAGAGGTAGAGAGAGAGAATCCCAAGCAGCCACCACACCCAGCACAGAGCCTGAGGCAGGGGTCAGTCCTACCACCCATGAGCTCATGACCTGAGCCAAAATCAAGAGTTGGATGCTTAACCTACTGAGCTACCCAGGCGTCCCTTCACTGTTAAATATATCTTTATAAACTCATCAAATTGTACATTTTAAATGGATCCAATTTATTATTCATAGATTATACCTCAAAAGGTTGATTAAAAAAGAAATACTGAAAGGCTTATAAGAAAGTATTTCTGGGGTGCCTGGGTGGTTCAGTCGGTTAAGCATCCAACTTCAGCTCCTGTCTTGATCTCACAGCTCGTGAATTCGACTCCTGCATCGGGCTCTGTGCTGACAGCTCAGAGCCTAGAGCCTGCCTTGGATTCTGTGTTTCCCCCACTCTCTGCCCCTCCCCTGTTTGTGTCTGTCTTTCTCTCTGTCTTAAAAATAAATAAAGTTTTTAAAAAATTTTTAAAAATTGGTAATAGGTTAACACTTTTCTTCCTACAGTATTTTGAACATACTCCATTGCCTACTAATCCTTTGTTATTTTTTTATGAAAAGTCTGCTATCATTTTCTTAGTTCCTTGTGGAAATTTCTATTCACTTATAGTCTCAGGACTATATGTTTACTGTCTGAAGAAGTTCAACACTTACTTTTTTAATGTTTATTTATTTATTTTGAGAGAGAGAGAAAGAGCCCTAGCAGGGGAGGGGCAGAGAGACAGGGAGAGAGTCTCAAGCAGTCTCTGCACTGTTAGTGCAGAGCCCAGCCCAAGGCTCAAACTCACAAACTGAAGAAATCATGACCTGAGCCAAAATCAAGAGTGAGATGCTTAACTGACTGAGCCACTCAGGTGCCCCTCCCTTTCCTTTTTTTCCTTTGAAATGATCTTTATCTTATCTTACATGCTTTTCTGTTTTGGGGTGGGGGATGATTATTCATATCCTAAGTTCTGTGACATCTTGGCTAGTTTTATTGTTGACTTTTTCAGTATTAGTTTCGTGTCCAGGACTTAAATTTTATGAAAGTAAACATTGCTTTGTTCAATTTGTAGCAGATAAGAGCAGATTTTGCTCTTATTCACATCTTTCCTTTCCTTATTATTTTTCCCTTTCCTAGATTGCTTTCCAGCTTTGTCCTTTAGGGTCGCTATCCACTAGTTCCTTGAACATATGGTTCAGAACTTTACATTTATTTACTGGAAAAAACCTCTTGATCACCTCTGTCTACTCTGTTCTCTTCCTTTGATTTTCCTTAATATACTTCAAGGGATTTGATGAAAAACACAAAAATAAGGTTTTTGGGGGTGCCTGGGTGACTCAGTCAGTTAAGTGTCCGACTTCGGCTCAGGTCATGATCTCATGGTTCATGGGTTCCAGTCTTGCATCAGGCTCTGTGCTGACAGCTAGCTCAGAGCCTGGAGCCTGCTTTGGATTCTGTGTCTCCCTCTCTCTCTGACCCTCCCCTGCTCACTTGCTCGCTCTCTCTCTCTCTCAGAAATAAATAAAACATTAAAAAAAGATTTTTGTCTTTTCTCTAGACTCTTCTAATTTGCTGACTAATTTAACATTTGTTTTTCTGTAAACACTTATTAATAAACTGATGTTTGTTAGGGAGTATATAAAAACATTAGAAGCAGTGAGATTTGAACATGTGAAAGCCTGTAGTTTATGTAGAAGTGCCATACAGGTCGGTCAGGTAACCTTTTAGGCTTAATTGAAAGTGTTCTATATGTGTTCATTGACATATATATAGCACATAGAATACTCAGCATGTTAAAAACCACATCTTTGTACCCTTTAAATTAAAAATTGGTTGATATTAAATTAATTGATGATTTCTTTTGGTGGGCACAGATGCTGGACTATTATATAGTCTTGAAAGTTTGGAACCAAGGTAATGCAGTGTTTCCCCAGCCTCCTTCTACAACATAACTCTAATGCCTTTATTGCATTTTGTTTCTTAAATATTCAGCAACTTTGGTAATCTTCTTATATCCTCCTTCTGTCCCCACAAATAAATGTGGTTCTTCTTACTACAAATGAATATTCCTTATAAGAAAATTATAATATACATCAGGAAAAGGAAAAATCTAAATATTCATAATCTTGTCCATCAAGCGATAACTCCTATGAACATCCTAGTAGATATTCTAATTGAAATCTTATTTTGAAATATTGCTAATGTAAAAAAAAATAGTACTTAGCTTAGTTTTGCAAATTTGTACCCATCTTTATTTTATAATGTTTAGCCACAGTTTTCTATCCTTGATGATTGTATCTTTTCTGTGATAGAAAGTGGAGCTGTTCCGAAAAGAAAAGATCCCTTGACACACACTAGTAATTCACTGCCTCGTTCAAAAACAGTTATGAAAACTGGATCCACAGGTCTTTCGGGCCACCACAGAGCACCTAGTTGTAGTGGTTTGTCCATGGTTTCTGGAGTGAGACAGGGACCTGGTTCTGCAGCTGGAACTCATAAGGTATTTGGAGACAATAACTTTAATTGCTATGCTTTTGCAAGTAATAAATATTGAACATGATATGCTTGCTTAAGATTATTACAAGTACTTTATACTATCTTAGAGCATTCATAAGTTTATACAAAGTGGAATGTGTTTTAATCTATAGGAAAAAAATCTATAAGGACAACTTGCTATTGAGAAGCAAATCTTATTTTAACTCCCTTTGGACCTAATTTGATATTTTGTAGTAAACTGCTTATTCAGTCTGTCTTGTATAATGCTATATAGTCATTTTAAATTTGTTATTCAATTGTTTAAATTTATGTAAGTGTTTTATAACATTAAACAGTTTTGTTAGAATTCTAACAATAATCAAAATTATATGACTGAATTGTTATAGGGTCTTTTTATTTTATGGTATCTAAATATTTCGGGATTAAATCCTCTCTAAGCCCACTTCATGCTAAATGTAGTCCTGTAGTTAATACCATTTTGCCTTGGAGTAAGTAAATACACAGTTTTGGGTTTTTTATATCCTTTTCCCTACTTTTAGACTTTAATTCTGTGAACTTTGAGGTTAATTTACCTGTGAAAAGGTTGTTAGGTTGTATTTTTACATTATGATTTTGTGTCCTTTAAGAGTACACCAAAAACAAATAGAACAAATAAGCCTTCTACCCCTACAACTGCTGCTCGCAAAAAGAAAGACTTGAAGAATTTTAGGAATGTAGACAGCAACCTTGCTAACCTTATAATGAACGAAATTGTGGACAAGTAAGTTTTGCCAGCTAAAGCATTTTATTTAATGGTTTTAGTTTTGAATTTGTTTATTTAATATGTTCTAAGTAAAATAGATAATAAATATCTTGTCTAGGGGCACCTGGGAGGGTTGGTCTCTTAAGCGACTGACTCTTGATTTCAGCCCAGGTTATGATCTCACAGTTTGTGAGTTCAAGCCCCACGTTGGGCTCCACACTGACAACACAGAGTGTGCTTGGGATTCTCTGTCTCTGTCTCTCAAAATAAATAAACTTAAAAAAGTAAAGTATCTTGTCTAATATACTTATTTAATTTTTATGATGTTTTCAGTTACTGTAAATGCAGAAAACCATTGTTTTACTGATTTAATTATAATTTCACAGTTAACATAAAAATAACTATTTCAAAAAAATAACTTTATTTCATATGGTAGCAACTGAAGCATGTTTTGTTATGGAGCTAACTGAAATTCTATTTCTTAGTGGAACAGCTGTTAAATTTGATGATATAGCTGGGCAAGAGTTGGCAAAACAAGCCTTGCAAGAAATTGTTATTCTTCCTTCTCTAAGGCCTGAGGTAAGCACTTTATATTATCATTTTCCTGTAACATCATTCATTACTGAATCCAGTAAAGAAATGTGTGAGCTATGCTAGAATGATTAATTCATATAACAGATTTGATGTTTTAAAAAGGAACATAAGCAATTGATGTTGACTGGTTATTAGAAGAGAGTGACTGTAATGGTTCCTAATAACCAGTCTATTTTTAACCTTTAGAGGGAAAACTAGGTAACAGAAAATAATTTTTATATCCAGGGAAGAAGGATTTAAAATTAAGAAATAGAAATCATACTGCAGAAAAGGGAAGTTAAGGTAAAATTAAGTTTGAAGAACTATTTTTTATCAAGTAGGGATGAAATACCATGTTATATGAGTTTCAGGTGGACAACATTGACAACTCTGTACAGTAAGCAGTGGTCACTATAAGTACAGTTACCATCTGTCCCTATACAGTGTTGCTACAGTATAAATGACTATAGTCCCCATGCTGTACTTTTCATCACTGTGACTTATTTATTTTATAACTAGAAGCTTATATCTCTTAATTCCCTTCACCTGTTTGCTCATTCCTCAACTCCTTCCCCTCCAGCAACCACCAGTTTGTTCTCTATTTATGACTAAGTATCTGTTTGTTTGTTCTTGTCACAACAACAACAACAGAGTGTTAATTATGTGAGATGAAGGGTGTGTTAACTAACCTTATTGTGGTAAATATTGTACAATATATGTATGTATCAAATCATACTATGCATGCTAAAGTTAGTGTTACGTCTTTTATATCTCAGTAAAGCCAGAAAATGTTTTAAGCAAAAAAATGCTACAGTAATCAAGATAGTGTGTCTTTGGTGAAAGAATAGACAAATAGATCAATAGAATAGACTAGAGGGCCCAGAAACACAGAGACACAAATACCATCAGTTGACAAAGGCACAAAAGCAATTTGATGGAGAAGTGATGGTGTTTTCCACAAATGGTGCTGGAATGACTAGACATCCTTGTGCAAAATAATTCTAGAACTGTACTTTCCACCTTTCATAAAAATTAATTCAAAATTGGTCACAGACTGAAATGTGAAAGGCAAACTAAAATGTAAAACTCCTAAAAGGTAATATAGGAAAAAAGTCTAGGTGATCTTTTGGTTTGACGATAGTTTATTGGACACAAGACCAAAAACATGATCCTTAAAGAAAAATTGGTAACTTGAACTTCATTAAAATTAAAAACTTTTCTGTGAAAGACGTTAAAAGAAGGAGAAGACAAGCTATAGACCAGGAGAAAATCTTTGCAAAATATACCATATGATAAAGGACTGGTATCCAAAAATATACAAAGAACTTTTAAAGCCGCACAATAAGAAAAGAAACGACCCAATTAAAATGTGGGCAAAATGATAAAATACCTAGGAATAAATCTAAACAAAGAGGTAAAAAATCTATGTACTGAAAACTATATAAAGCTTATGGAAGAAATTGAAGAAGACACACACAAAAAAGGAAGAATATTCCATGCTCCCAGATGGGAAGAACAAATGTTGTTAAAATGTCAATAATACCCAGAGCAATTTACATATTCAATACGGTACCTATCAAAATAATACTAGCATTCTTCACAGAGCTACAACAAACAATCCTAAAATTTGTATGGAACCAGAGAAGACCCTGAATAGCCAAAGCAATCTAGAAAAAGAAAACCAAAGCTGGAGGCATCACAATCCTGGACGTCAAGATGTATTACAAAGCTGTAATCATCAAGACAGTATGGTACTGGCACAAAAACACTCAGATAAAAAGAATAGAATGGAGAACCCAGAAATGGACCCACAAATGTATGGCAAACTTATCTCTGACAAAGCAAGAAAGAATATCCAGTGGAATAAAGATAGTCTCTTCAGCAAATGGTGTTGGGAAAACCAGACAGCAACATGCAGAAAATTGAACCTGAACCACTTTCTTACACCATACACAAAAGTAAACTCTAAATGGATGAAAGACTGAAATGTAAGACAGAAAGCCATCACAATCCTAGAGGAGAAGGCAGGCAAAAACCTCTTTGACCTTGGCCGCGGCAACTTCTAACTCAACATGTCTCCAGAGGCAAGGAAAACAAAAACAAAAATGAACTATTAGGACCTCATCAAAATAAAAATCTTCTGCACAGTGAAGGAAACAATCAGCAAAACTGAAAGGCAACCAGTGGAATGGGAGAAGATACTTGCAAACAACATATCAGATAAAGGGTTAGTATCCAAAATCTATAAAGAGTTTATCAAACTCAATACCCAGAAAATAAATAATCCAGTGAAGTGGGCAAAAAACATGAATAGACACTTGTCCAAAGAAGACATTCAGATGGCCAACAGACCAGAAAAAATGCTCGTCATTCATCATGAGGGAAATACAAATCAAAACCACAATGAGATACCACTTCACACCCATCAGAATGGGTAACATGGCTAACAACTCAGGCAACAACAGATGTTGGCAAGGATGCAGAGAAAGAGGATCTCTTCTGTACTGCTGGTGGGAATGCAAACTGGTGCAGCCACTCTGGAAAACAGTATGGAGGTTCCTCAAAAAATTAAAAATAGAACTACCATATGACCCAGCAATTGCACTGCTAGGTAGTTTTCCAAGGGATAGAGGTATGCTGTTTTGAAGGGGCACATGCACCCCAATGTTTATAGCAGTGCTATCAACGATAGCCAAAGTATGGAAAGAGCCCAGTGTACATCGATGGATGAATGGATAAAGAAGATGTGATACACACATACACACACAATGGAGTATTACTCAATCAAAAAGAATGAAATCTTGCCATTTGCAACTACGTGGATAGAACTAGAGGGTATTATTCTAAGTAAAATTAGTCACAGAAAGAGAGATATCCTGTGACTTCACTCATATGAGGACTTTAAGATACAAAGCAGATGAACATCGGGGAATGGAAGCAAAAATAATATAAAAACAGGGAGGGGGGCAAAACATGAGAGACTCTTTTATAAATATAGAGAACAAACAGGGTTGCTGGAGGGGTTGTGAGAGGGGGAATGGGCTAAATGGGTAAGGAGCATTAAGGAATCTACTCCTGAAATTACTGTTGCACCATATACTAACTAACTTGTGTGTAAATTAAAAAATAAATTATTAAAATAAAATGTGGGCAAAAGATCTGAACAGGTACCTCACTAAAGACACTACACAGATGACAAACAAATATTCGAAAAAATAATGCTCAACATCATTTTTTATTAGGGAATTACAAGTTAAACAACAGTAAGATTCCCCCACATACTTTTTGTTTTCAAAAAAAATTTTTTTAATGTTTGTTTATTTTTGAAGGAGAGAGACAGAGCACAAGTTGGGGAGGGGTAGAAAGATAAGGAGATAGAATCCGAAGTAGGCAGGCTCCAGGCTCTCAGCTGTAAACACAGAGTCTGATGGTGCTGCTTGAACCCGCGAACCATGAGATCATGACCTGAGCCAAAGTTGGTTGCTTAACCGACTGAGCCATGCAGGCACCCCCACCACACGCTTATTAAAATGGCTAAAATCCAAAACAATGACAATGACAAATGATAGTGAGGGTGTGGGGCAACAGGAATTCTAATTTATTGCTGATGGGAAGGCAAAATGGTATAGCTACTTTGGAAAACAGTTTGACACTTCCTTACAGAAGTAAAATACTTTTACCATGCTGCCTACCACTTGTACTCTTAATATTTACCAAAATGAGTCAAAATTTATCTCTGTATAAAAAAACCTGCGTACAAATGTTTATTGCAATTTTATTTGTAATTTACCAAACTTGGAAGCCACCAAGATATTCTTTAATAGGTAAATGGATAAATTGTGGTATATCCAGCACTAAAAAGAAATGAGCAGGGCACCTGGGTGGCTTAGTCAGTTAAGTGTCAGTTAACTTCACGTCAGGGCATGATCTCACGGTTCCTGGGTTCAAGGCCCATATTGGGCTCTGTGCTGACAGCTCAGAGCCTGGAGCCTGCTTTGGATTCTGTGTCTCCCTCTCTCTCTGTGTCTCTCCTGCTTGCTCTCTCTCTCAAAAATAAATAAACATTAAAAATTAACAAAAAAAGAAATGAGCTATCAAGTCTCAAAAATATTCTGAGGAATCTTAAATGCATTTGGTAATGATTCCAACTTGCAAAAGCTAGTACTGTGATTCCAACTGTATGACATTCTGGGATGGCAAAACTGTGGAGAAAGTAAAAAGATCAGTGGTTTCCTCATGGAGAGAGAAGGAAGGAGGAATCGATGGAACACGGGATTTTTTAGGGCAGTGAAACTATTCTGCATGATTCTATAAAAGTATATACATGATGCAAATTGTGAACCCTAATGTAAAGTATGGACTTCAGTTGATAACATATCAATATTGGTTTATCAATTGTGAAAAATGTACCACACTAATGTAAGATGTTAATAATAGGGGAAATTGGGGAGGTAGGAAGTTATATGGGAACTCTGTACTTTCTTGAAATAAAACAGTAAAAAAATATATATATACAAACAATAAAAAAAAATTTAAGTTAAATATTAGCCATCCCATATGTTTCAACTTAAAAGTACATACTCCTTCACTCTTAAGCAAAGTGGTATCAGTCTCGTGCTTCACTCTGGACCCTCTGCCATGCCTGATGTCTTTGAGTCTGGAGACTCTGGTGTAGTATGTCTTTTTTAATTTTTTATTATTTTTAAAATTTTTTTTAAATTTACTTAGCATGAGCAGGGGAGGGTCAGAGAGAGAGAGAGAGACAGACAGACAGATTCTGAAACAGACTCCAGGTTCTGAGCTAGCTGTCAGCACAGAGCCTGATGCGGGGCTCGAACCCACGAATCATGATATCATGACCTGAGCCAAAGTCGGACGCTTAATCCACTGAGCCACCCAAGGGCCCCTGGTGTAGTGTGTCTAAAGAACAAAATCTCTGCCTCCTTTATTTGTGAGAGGAGTACTTGGGACCTGGTAATCTTGGTAGGGGGCAGGCACATGTGTTTAGCTGTTTCTCATACAGACTTCCAAGCACTTCCTCTGTGGCTGCCCGCCCTACCGCTCTTTCTTTGAGATAACATGTCTCCACATCCTTAACTTTTCCAGGGTTTTTGTTCACATCCACTTGCTGATTGTGTTTAAGTATCCCTTCATAAGCAAGCACTTTGGTTTTAGCTTCCTCAGCTCTGCAAAATAATTACCATGCTTTGTCAGTTCCGCCTCTACAAAAATTTATTGTGTCTTCTATTGTTTTCCTTCGTGTTCTCTTTATTTTGAAGATTTGTATCTTCTTTATTCATTTACTATTGTTTTGGTGAGATTTCCAAAGGAAGTAGAGAAGCATATCTATGTTTATTATGTCTTATTTAACCAGTTTTTTCATTTTCAATGAGATTCTTAAAAATTTTGTTTTCTTCTGTTTTTAATAACTATACCAATTTATTGATTATATGTGTTCTCTTTAGAACTCTGAGGAGTTCTGTTTAGGCAGATGCTACACAAAAATGATGCTTTTTGTTTTTTAAAAATTTTTAACTTATTTTTGAGAGAGAGAGAGTATGAGCACAAGTAGAGGAGTGGGGCAGAGAGAGATAGAGAGGGAGACACAGAATCTGAAGCAGGCTCCAAGCTCCAAGCTGTCAGCACAGCCCAATGCAGGGCTCAAACCCATGAACCGTGAGATCATGACCTGAGCCAAAGTTAGATGTTCAACTGACTGAGCCACCCAGGTGCCCCCAAAATGATGCTTTTTAAATGACAGACTTAAAATGTCTGGGAAAACATAGTTGTGAACTAAATACATGATTTTAGTTATTCACAGGGCTTAGAGCTCCTGCCAGAGGATTGTTACTCTTTGGTCCACCTGGAAATGGAAAAACAATGCTGGTAAGAATTATTTTAAAATTTGAATATTCTGTTTAGATAATTAGAGATAATATTGTGGAAAAAAAGTTTATGTTGCCTCTGAGTTACTTTTATGATATTTTTTGCCATAGTATGCTTCTCCTAAGTTTTTAAACTTAGTTTAAAATGTTTTCAATGAAGAAATAGATGGAAAGCACATTACGTTCTCTCAAGTAGTATGTTTTGGAATGGTTAAATTTAACAATGTAATTTTCATTAATTTCCCAAGTTAAATAATAACATTTTTATCTCAAAAGAGCTTACCTTCCTATATTGGGTATCTTCCTATCCCTTGATTTTTTTTTTCTTTCCTAAATTAACAGCTTTATTTAAATATTCAGCAAAGAGGCGCATGGGTGGCTCAGTCTGTTAAGCGTCTGACTCTTGATTTTGGCTCAGGTCATGATCTCAGTTTGTGAGTTTGAGCCCCATGTCAGGCTCCGAGCTGACAGTGTGGCCTGTTTGGGATTCTCCCTCTTTCCTCTCTCTCTGCGTCTCCCCTGCCTGAGCTTTCTCTCTCTCTCAAAATAAATAAAAACTTTAAATAATCAGGATAATACACTTTTTTCTTTCTTTTTTATTGAAGCATAATTGACCTACAATATTTTTTTTTCAGTACCTTTTGCCCAAGTTTTTACTGGGATCTGGATACCTCTTCGGTACAGTTCTTTTAGAGGAGAAAAGTAAGGAGGCAAAGAGTTTAGCTGTTTGTCTTTCTCCAGTTATCTTTCTATATTTAAAAAGGGAATAACACCCTTTTTAAAAAAAACCTCTTCCTGTCCATCTCCCTTAGAAAAAATAAGGAGAATGGAAAGAAGGGAAAGAAGCATAGCTCTTCCTAGACCTTTTCCTCATTGCTGAGAAGAAACACATTGATTGCTACATATCAGGAATTGTGTCATATTTTATATTTTTTGGAAAATCTTTTCTAGTGTTTAAATTGACTAAATGTGGTTCTTTTTTTAAAAAATTTTTAATGTTTATTTGAGGGAGAGTGAGAGGGAGGGGTAGCACGAGTGAGGGAGGGGCATAGAGAGAGAAGGAGACACAGATTCGGAAGCAGGCTCCAGGCTCCAAACTGGCAGCATAGAGCCTGATGTGGGGCTCAAACGACAAGCCGTGAAGTTATGACCTGAGCCCAAGTTGGATATTTAACTGACTGAGCCATGTGGACACCCCTCAAATGTTCTTTTTAAAGGAAGATAGTGAACTAATACAATGTTTTGTCCTTGTGATTTTTAAGGCTAAAGCAGTAGCTGCAGAATCTAATGCAACCTTCTTCAATATAAGTGCTGCAAGTTTAACTTCAAAATATGTGAGTGTTCTTTTCTCAGTATTGTCATATTTTACGTTGCTGTCTAACTGTAACTAAGTATAAATGGTAATAACATTACACAAAAAATATTTTTGAGTTTTATATCTATTATTTAGATATGATGGACATTAATCACTCTTCACAACAAAGTTAGGCTCTTTTAAAGTTAGAATTGTGCTGTCAAATACTGTTTTAGTTTGCTGGGGCTGTGTAACAAAGTACCATCAACACAACAGAAATTTATTGTCCTATAGTTTTGAAGACTAGAAGTCCAAGATCAGGTATTGGCAGAGTTCTCATTTTGATAAAGTAATTAAAAGTAACTGTTAAATGATACCTCTTTTCTTGGTTATATTTTATTTTCTATGTGGAATTGTGTAAGTGAATTGTTATTAAAGCAGGTGTACCCAACATCATACACATAGTATAATGGAAAACACGGTCTTGGAAGTTAGGAGATAGAGATTCCAACTTAACTGTTGGGTACTGACTGGCCTTAAGAAAACACCACTTTTAGGCCTCAGTTCATTTATAAAAAATTGTGGTAAGCAGGTGATCTCTTAAAGGTCCTTCAGAATATTTGCTCTGTGATTCTAAATATGAGGCCATTCTTTTTTTTTAGTTAAGTTTTTAATTTAAAAAATGATGCCACTTAGAGGATGGAGGAGTTTTTACACTGGATTACCCCAAGCCTCATGACCCTTTTATTAGTTGCTTTTAATGCATCGAATTGTTTTATTAGAACGTTTCAGACCCTGGAGTGTCACAAGGGGTGTTTATAAACCTCCTTGGCTACCTAGAAATACTTTCAAACTTTTTGTCACTGATACTGTGAGAGTTAATTTAAGTTTAGTAGAGCACTTGGCAACTTAACTGGTCTATAAATGTACCCTGCAACCGAGGGCTTAAGAAATATGTACAGTATCTCTTTTCTCCCCTAATGTTCTGTCTCCTCACTAGTTGCACCCCTAATAGTTCTTCCATTCTCAAGTCTTAGGAGTGTAGGGTCAAGCAAAACAGAGATCGATTTCATTTTTTAAAGTATTTACCAGACCAGTCCTAGTTTCAGCACCAAAAAAATAAAAAAGTACTTAGACTGTATTAAGTAATAGTCTTTTTTTTCTCTTTTATAAGGGACAGTTCAGTAACCCTACTCCCCCAATTTCTTAAACCAAATCTTTGGTTGTTGCAAAGAAAGGAAATTAAATTCCTAGATTCTACACTTTCAGTGATGAAATTTAAACAGCTGGAATAATGTTGCATTTTATGTATACTATAGTGTATAATGCCTTGTTTTTAGGTGGGAGAAGGAGAGAAATTGGTGAGAGCTCTTTTTGCTGTGGCTCGAGAACTTCAGCCTTCTATAATTTTTATAGGTAAGAACATGTTTTCTAACTATGTTAGTTGAATATTTATGAAATTCCCCTCTCCAAATCTGAGTGATATGATAAGAAAGATTATTCAGAAGGAAAACGTTTTCAGGAAGTGCAGCGTTAAAGACTAATGAATTGCTTAGGACCCACAATATTAATAACTTAAGTAGTAAACTAGATTAATCTCAGAGGACTCATGTATAGCTTGGCTTTAAATTAAAGTCTTATCCTTTTATTTCCTTTAGATGAAGTTGATAGTCTTTTGTGTGAAAGAAGAGAAGGAGAACATGATGCTAGTAGACGTCTAAAAACTGAATTTCTAATAGAATTTGATGGTGTAAGTATTGATTATGGTATTTTTAAGGTAGCATCTTAGTGTATATATTTTCCAATTAAATGACTCAAGTTAGAAGTACAGATATCTTTATCATATTTTTGTTATCACTTTACCTAAAAGTATTGAAAACTATTTTTGTCTTATAGGTACAATCTGCTGGAGATGACAGAGTGCTTGTAATGGGTGCAACTAACAGGCCACAAGAGCTTGATGAGGCTGTTCTCAGGTATAGGGATTTATGTAGAAACACATATCAGTTACAGGTGTATTTGCTCCTGTGTTCATATCATATGTCTTATTTCCTTCAGTCTCAATTTGAAGACCAATCATTTCCCTTTTGTTATTCATCCTTTGGCCTCTTGTTACCAACTAAAGATTTTGAAGACAGAGGCAACATGATACACGAAAACTAGTTTTCACTTTGGCTGCAGGCAAATTGTTTATTTCTTCTGATTAGGATTAAATTATCTTAAAACCAGAATTGATTCTTACACTTCTTTTACTGGGCTTCCTGAAAAGCCAATAAAAGCAGGATTCATGGAAACTATGCTTTGTGTTCTTGTATGATTGAACAAATTTATTCCCTTCCTACTAGAAAGATGGTTTGACTAAGCATAAAATTCTTGGGCCTCCCTTTCTTTTCCTGATGAATTTATTACATTGCTCCATTGTTTCTAGGATTAAACGTTGCAGTGTAAAAGTCTGAAGCCAGCCTGCTTTTTATTCACATTTATGGATTAGCTTGATTTTTTTTTTTCTCTTTACTGGATGTAATTTTTAACCATTGAAATCTAGTTATTTGAAAAAGATGTTGATCTGTGTTTATTTTTTCTGGGATTTGGTGTTTAAATTGAGAGTTAGGAACCTCTTTTGTTTTAGGAACATTATTTTTAATACTACCTTTAATTGTTTTTTCCTGATATATTATTCTGGTTTTTTTCTTTCACACAATTTATGCATTGTTTTGCATCTTTTTGTCTTCCATACCTTTAATATCTTTTCTAATCCTTCTTAACTCTTAGGTCTTTTTGTTTGTTTGTTTGTCTTCTTGTTTGTTGTCCTTATTTCTTACTGGGTTTCTGTCCAATCTTCTTGTGCTACTACTCTTGTAATCTCTGTGTCTTTGGTGGTTTTCTTCTTTCTTTTCATTGCTTTCCGGATCTCTGCATTCCCATTTTTCATCTTCTGTTGTCTTAATTCCTTGAGCTTTTGTATATCATTGCCCTGAGACTTTATAGCTCATTGAGCTCTTGTTTCATAAAAGATTTTTTTTATTAAATAATTTTATTTCACAGAAATATATTTGGTCACAAATTTAATTTGCTCTATGACAATATCTTATTGTGTATATTCTCTATATTTATTATAATTGTTTCCCTTTTTTTAGCACTTAAAAGAATAGCCATGTGCTTTTGCCTGTTTTGCTTACTATTTTTATTTCAATAAAGGGGAGTTTTCTTGGAAAACCTAGTTGTGGAGTCATACTATAGGAGAATGGCTATGGAGCAAGTATCTTGAGTTGTCGTCTGAATAGACTGGATTAGCAGGCAGTCTCCCTGAGTCACAGTCAAACCATACCTGATAAAGATTAGTCAATGCAAGACAGTTTGTGATCTTGCCGGACTGATTGATGTCTTCTTACAAAGATGATGTGTCTTCGAGTTTCTCTCTTCAGCCTTACCTGGCTTGCAATTCCCCTGCTCCTGCCTAACTAGGTTTCACAAGATTTGCAGAGTGGTTCTTCACATGCTTATTTATATTATGGGGGTTGGCTTTATGCCTCCTCAGATTGTGCTCTGTTTCCTTTGGAAAACTCTGTGCTCAGATAGCTGTGTCTGGAATCTATAGCAGCAGATCCTGTGTGTATCCTCTTTTGCCACTATAATTTTCAGTGCCCTAGGCAGCCCTTCTTTCTACACTTTAGTTGTGTAAATGTTACCTAGTTTGTTGATAATGAAGTTTGCATTTCTGTTTCTGTGGTCCTTTTTGATTTTAGTTGTTTTCCGTTTCAAGAAGACAGCGGAGATCTCTTTATTCTGCTTCTCATACCAAATTTTTTGTTTTAATAGCATTATTGCTATTAAAACCATATAGGAACATGACAATATTGAATTAAGGATTTTTAAACATTATCTAGAGAGTTTTAAAGAGTAACTCACGGGGCACCTAGCTGGCTCAGTCGTGTGACTCTTTATCTTGGGGTTATGAGTTCAAGACTCATGTTGGGTGTAGAGGTTATGTAAAAATAAAGTCTTAAATAACTTTATACTTTAATGACTACTAAAATGCATTCAGATACCTTGACTATTCTACTTAAAACCTTATTCTTGTCATTTGCTACTTGAACAGAGTTACCTGTAAATTCAAAACTATGTTTCTGAAGTTGTTCCAATCCTTTTTTTTAGGCGTTTCATCAAACGGGTATATGTGTCTTTACCAAATGAAGAGGTATGTGTCTATTTTTGAATTTTTTTTTTAACACAGAAACCAGGACTACCATCTTGACAATAGTGATCTTCCAATTATTGGTACAGCCAGGTTGGAAAACAATTTGGCAGTTTCTTAAAAAGATAAATGTAAACTTGCCATAAGACCCGATAAGTCCATTCCTAAGAATTTTCCCAAGACAGGTGAAAACATATGTCTACACAAAGACATGTAAAAGAATTTTTATAGCACCATTATAAATAATAGCCAAGAACTGTAAGGAGTCTAAAACGTTCATATATTAGACAATGGATAAGCAAATATGGTTTATACATTTAGTGGAATACTGTTTAGCAAATAAAAGGGTTGAGATACTTACATATGCTGTAATATGGAAAAACCTCAAAAACATACTAAGTGAAAGACACCAGATGTAAATGATAATCTATCATGTGATTCCATTTGTATGAAATGTCCAGAAAAGGGAAATTCCTAGAAACAAAGGAAATTGTGGTTTGCAAAGGCTAGAGATGGGAGTGGGGACTAACTGCAAATAGGCATGATTACACTTTTTGGGGTGATAGAAATATTCTAAAAGTGGATTTTGGTGATGGTTGCAAAACTGTATATTTATTAAAAATCATTGAATGTTTCACTTACAATGGGGAGAATAGTGTTATATGAATTCATACCTCATATAAAGTGTTTTTTTAAAAATCGTGGTTGTCTAGCTCAGACCCTTAACATCCTTATTAATAGCAGCGGCTAATTCGTAGTGCCTTATTTGGATTATCTTTAAGTCTCTCAAGAACTCGCAAAAAATGGTAGTTTTAACTCTAATTTACAGACATGAGTGAAGCTCTAAGAATTAGAGTGATTCGTGTGTGATCATTCAGCTCATAAATAAGAGTCAGGATTTGGATCAAATTTTCGGATATTTCATTAAGCTAATTCTTCAGACTGATAATTTTTTAATATTTCTTCTCAGACACGACTACTTTTACTTAAAAATCTATTATGTAAACAAGGAAGCCCATTGACCCAAAAAGAACTAGCACAACTTGCTAGGTGAGTAATTTGATTTGGTTTATCTTAAAACTTTTTTTTTTTTTTTAAGAATTCTTCTTCTTTTTTGTTTAAAGTAAATTCAAGTATGAAATGAGTAATTTTTTTTCAGAAAACTGCTTGTCTTATTCTCTGCGTCCTTTATGTTTTTTTATCTCTCATTGTTACCTAAATTTAAATTTCTAGATCCTCTACAAGACATGACCTAAATATCTGATGGCAGTACATGCTTTTTATAAACTTATTAAAACTTACAAGTGGTATTAAAATAGTTTAAAAATTTTAAGACTCTTATCTCTGCCCACACCAACACAAATATTTTCATATAAATTTGTACTTTATGTTGCACATCATTTTTTTAAGTTTCACATCTTCATTTATAAGTGGTGTACTTAAGTAGAAACTTAATATAGGAGATGCACTTTTTGAATTTTAGTCACTGAAAAATCTCACAAAGTAATTTTGAAGTATGTGAATAGCTAGTAATTTTAGTAAACACTCTGAGTCCCAGGATACCTATGAAGAAAGAATGAATTCAATACTTGGAAATATTGAGGTTGTTCTTTGTAATTTCAGTAAAGAATTCAACTAATAATGTTTGATCTCTATAGTTATTTAACATAGTATATGATAAGCAAATGCTTTCTTTTCCTGTTTTATTTTCTTCTTCCTCTTTGCCCTCCCTAGTTCTTAGTTCCCTTTGATAATCTCTTGGCTGCCCAGGACTCTGCACTGTGGCATCCCATTCAGGTGTGCCTCTTTTTGCCAATGTCTTCTACCCCAGACCCTTCCTTCGCCCTGTCTGTCCTGTATTTAAAGAAATGTACCTTGGCCACCTGACTGGCTCTGTCAGTAGAGCATGCAGCTCTTGATCTCAGGGTTCTGAGTTCAGGCCCCACATTAAGTGCAGAGCTTACTTGAAAAAATTTAAAAAAATTTTAATAAAAAAAAAAAAGGAATCTACCTTGACTGGCAGTGTTCTTTGTCAAAATAAAGAAACATTAACTTCATTAACTTACAGAGCACTAATTAATGGTTATGTGTCAGTTGGCCAGCAATGGCTTATGGCTGTTGTATTTACAATGTAATGGAGCTTCCTGGAGATATGCCTTAATCTAAAGGAATGGTTCTTATGATGAAAATTTGTGACATTCATTCTAAGGAGCCTACCTGCCATAGATGGTTTTGTTTGTTTTCAGCAAGTGGACCTTCCTGTGCCCTAAAATCAAAGTGCGTAGCTGTCTGCTTGATGACAGAGGCAAACTAGATTTTACCCTCTTTCTACACAGAGGAGTTTAAATCTGCAAAGATGAAAATAATTTGCTCTTTCTTCCTTTCCATTCTCAGAATGACTGATGGATATTCAGGAAGTGATCTAACAGCCTTGGCAAAAGATGCAGCACTGGGTCCTATCCGAGGTATGTGTACAGAGCTTGAAACATTTAGACCTAATTACTAGACCACTTTCAAAGTTTAAGAAACCCTATTGAGAAGTGTTTTTTTGTTTATTTGTTTTTAGGTAGTAGTAGGAGATCATTGAAGCTGCTGGAAAACTTGAAACAAAGTAGTTTCTTTTTCTTTTTAAATTTTTAATGTTTATTCTTTAGAGAGAGAGAGAAGGAGACAGAGCATGAGGGTGGAGGGGCAGAGAGAGAGGGAGTCACAGTGTCCGAAGCAGGTTCCAGGCTCTGAGCTGTCAGCACAGAGCTCAGGATGAACCGCGAGATCATGACCCAAGTCGAAGCTGGACACTTAATCAACCGAGCCATCTAGGCATCCTGGTATGAAGTAGTTTCTAGACTGAATGTAAAGGGCCTGGTAAATATTTTAGGCTTGTGGGGCCGCATATGCTCTTCATTGCATATTCTTTTGTGTTATTGTTTGTTTTTAAAAAAAAAACCAAAAATGTGAAACCATTCTTAACTCACAGACCATACAGAGACGTCCATGGGTCAGTAGACTGTGACCTCTATTATAAACAACAGGTTTCAGTTTTTTATTTTAATTAAAAAATTTTTATTATTGAAATATAGTTAACATACAAGATTATATTTATTTCAGTACACATAGTGATTAGCTCTGTACATTAAACAATATTCACCTTGATAAATTACCATCTGTCATATGTTTCACTTTTTTTTTTTTTTTTTTTTTTTAGTTTTTTTTTTTTTTTTTTTTTTTTTTGTTTAGTGTGTTTTTTTTTTTTTCATGGAGGGAGACACAGAATCCGAAGTAGGCTCCAGGCTCTGGGGTGTCAGCACAGAGCCCACTACGGAGCTGGAACTCATGAACTATGAGATCATNCATACAAGATTATATTTATTTCAGTACACATAGTGATTAGCTCTGTACATTAAACAATATTCACCTTGATAAATTACCATCTGTCATATGTTTCAACTTTTTTTTTTTTTTTTTTTTTTAAGTTTTTTAATGTTTATTTTATTTTTGGGAGAGTGTGAGCTGGGGAAGGGCATGGAGGGAGACACAGAATCCGAAGTAGGCTCCAGGCTCTGGGGTGTCAGCACAGAGCCCACTACGGAGCTGGAACTCATGAACTATGAGATCATGACCTGAGGTGAAGTCAGACGCTTAACCGACTGAGCCACCCAGCCACCTCTGTTTCCCTTCGTGATAGTAGGTAGCCAGCAGAAAACATAAAGGAAAAGAAAATATTTTTAAGAAGCAGAAAAGAAAAATAAAGGGAAAATGTTCTTACTTGCTTTTGGGCTTTTTTCAACTTCGATACTCTGATATCACTTGAAATTAAAGTATCTAAGAGAAGTTTTTACTTGTATTATTATATCTTTTGAGGAATTGCTTTGTGTTGATTCATGGTTATTTGTTGATTCTGAAAATACCATTCTGATACCACTTTAGACTAGATATTCTCAGCTGCTTTTCCACAGGCAGCATGGGCAGTGGATGGGTGAGGCTCTTAACTATGCACTCAGATTGCTGGCTGTGGTGATAAAATAGAACATGGAACATGCAGCTTCTAGAACACATCTTGTGCAATAAGACAGTGTACTGACTCAGAATTGCTGCTTTGGAGAAAAATAAGTATAACCTTGAAAATGTATTTTGAGATTCTGGGCAAAGCATTCTAGTCAAACAAACTCTTGCTGCTAGAGGCATAAAATCTTGTTCAGATAGTGGACTCAAACAGTAGCTAATATATAAACCATTTGTATTTTTTCAGAATATTTTAGCTATTATTTTGAAGCAGACAAAAGCTGTTGGCTTAAAAAAAAATAACCTAGAGCCTTTGTAAAGAACAAGTTGAATCTTTTAAGTTCCCTCTCAGATTTGTAAAATTTATGAATCTTAGGCAATATGCAAAGAAATTGAATGCCTCTCAGTTACTAAGAAGGAATATTATTCTAAGCATTTATAAATTGTGCTTAATATTGTGTGTCTTTTAATATAAATACTTTATATCAAGCATGTACTTTTAGACCATTGTACTTGGTTTTGCTTTTCAGCAATTTAAACTTAGAAATCTTTTATTTTAAGTGGCTGTCTTATATTTTACAGAACTGAAACCAGAACAAGTAAAGAATATGTCTGCCAGCGAGGTATACTGTTTTATAATTATCTTTTCTTTGCTCTGATTCTCTATATTGTAAGACTCCTCTTTTATGTGGATTTTTGTCTCTGATTTGTTTAGAAGCTAGAAGAAGTTATCTTTGCTTCATTTCAAAATACAGAGACATATCAAATTACAGTCTCTTACAGTGTTCTTTGGTAATGGACAAAAAACATTGTACATAGTCATTAAGTCATTTTCTGTCAAATCATGTTATGTAACTACTAAACAGAAGAAAATCATGGAAAACTTGAGGATTTTACCCTTTCTAACAAGTTAATTCCTTGGTATTCTATTAGTTTTTCAGTGTTTGTTTTCCTCTTTATAAAAGCAATACCATTGTAATGTAATTCATTACCTTTTGTTAATGTGGTAGGCCCTCTTATGAGGTTTCTTTTGAAAAAGATTGCCTGGAAAGTATAAAGTTGGATATGCAGAATGATCATAATAACTATGTAAGCAAACTTTTAAAATCAGTCTTTTTTTTTTCTTTTTCTTTTTTTTTTTTTTTTTTAAATATTCTTATTTATTTCTAGGAGAGAGAGAGAGACAGCGTGAGCAGGGGAGGGTCAGAGAGAGAGGGAGTCACAGACCGAAACAGGCTCCAGGCTCTGAGCTGGCAGTCAGCACAGAGCCCGACGTGGGGCTCGAACCCACGAACCGCGAGATCATGACCCAAGCGAAAGTCGGACGCCCAACCGACCAAGCCACCCAGGCGCCCCTTAAAATCAGTCTTAAATTATATTTGTAACTTACATGTCAGATATTTTTTACTGCCCAAGTTTCACTAGCTATTAAAGGGACAGTGAGCTGTTAACATAGAGTGAAAGTATTGAGAACATTTTGGCAGTCTTTTTTCTCTAAGCTTCCAAGTAAACTTAGTTGTTTTCAGTATCTTGTGCATGGTAGTTAATCAACTACATTACTAAGAATGCCTTCATACTTATTGTACCACCACTCCATTTATTTTATTAAATTTATTTTTATTAAAACAATTTTTTTTAACATTTATTTTTGAGAGAGACAGAGCACAAGCGGGGGAGGGGCAGAGAGAGAGGGAGATACAGAATCTGAAGCAGGCTCCAGGCTATGAGCTGTCAGGACAGATGCAGGGCTTGAACTCACAAACTGTGAGATCATGACCTGATTCGAAGTCAGACGCTTAACCCTACTGAGTCACCCAGGCGCCCCCACTATTCCATTTTAAAAGTCTTGTTTGTCTAAAGTGTGTTTGATATGAATGAAGCTGAGGAATAGAGAATTCCACATACCTTCTTTGGTATCTAGCTTAAAAATTCACATTTATTTACTTTTAAATGTTTTATTTTTTTTATTTTTTTATTTTTAGAGAGAGTATGCACAGAGGAGGGGCAGAGAGGGAGACAGAGGATCTTAAGCAGATTCTGTACTGTCATTGCAAAGCCCAGCACAGGGCTTGATCTCACTAACCAAGAGATCATGACCTGAACAGAAACCAAGAGACAGCCCCTTAACTGACTGAGCCATCCAGGCACCCCTTAAATATTCACATTTAAAGTGTGAGTCCCAAGTCCCTTTTATCTGATTTATAATTTTAATTCCACATATCTTAATTCTTTTTTATATGTAAGTACTATATAATTTGTGTTCCCAAAGTGTCATGTGGATTTTTAAAAATAGTTTTAGGTATAATTTATTAACAACATCCCACAAACATATTACTTTTTTAATGATAATATAGCTTAAACCTGATAGTATGTGACTGCTTAGGGAAGAGAAATTCTTACGAATCCCTTTTTTTTTTTTTTTTTGTTTGAGAGAGAGAGAGAGAATGCAGGTGTGAGAGAGGGGCAGAGGGAGAGAAAGAGAGACTCTTAAGCAGGCTCCATGCTCAGTATGGAGTCCATGCAGTTCTTGATCCCACAACCCTGAGATCATGACCTGAGTTGAAATTGGGAGTCGGACATTCAACTGACTAAACCATCCAGGCACCCTGGTCCATTTTTCGCCCTCAACTCTGTCCATTATTATTTGATGAGAAAAGAGACCTGTTTTCTACTGATAGTAGCTCTAACCTTTGTCTATATCTTACCCATTCCATGTATGCATATGAGAACATAGAGCAACATTTTTATGCACTGAACAAAGTCATCTATAGTTCCTGTTTTATTTGAAGAATAAAGAATTTTTGAGTCTATTTTCTTTTTTAGTAACTCATGACTATTTTTTTTAAGTTTATTTATTTTGAGAGAGAGAAAGAGAGTGTGCACACAAGCAGGGAAGGGGCAAAGAGGGAAAGAGAGAATCCCAAGTAGGCTCTGTGCTGTCAGTGCAGAGCCTGACCCAGGGCCTCATCTCGCAAACTGTGAGATTATGACCTGAGCCGAAATTAAGAGTTGGATGCTTGACTGACTTAGCCACCAGGTGCCCCAGTAACTCATGACTTTATTTTTTTTTTTTTATTTTTTATTTTTTTTTAAATTTATTTCTAGGAGATAGAGAGAGACAGCGTGAGCAGGGGAGGGTCAGAGAGAGAGGGAGTCACAGACTGAAACAGGCTCCAGGCTCTGAGCTGGCAGTCAGCACAGAGCCCGACGCGGGGCTCGAACCCACGAACCGCGAGATCATGACCTAAGCGAAAGTCGGACGCTTAACCGACTAAGCCACCCAGGCGCCCCAATAACTCATGACTTTAAAACAAGATAGATCTGAGGGACCTCCATAGCGTTCTCCAGAGTAGCTGTACCACTTTAGGTGTCTGTTGCCATATATCAAATTGCCCAGAAACTTAGCTTAAAGTGACATGCATTTATTACCTCACATATTCATGGAGTTGGGAATGTGGGTACAGCGTAACTGAGTTCTCCACTTCAAGCTCTCTCAGAGCATTGCAATCAAGGTATTGGCTCAGGGTTGCTTACAGAACTGTAACGAAGATGCTAGCTAGGGCTGTAGTCATTATCAGGCTTAGTTGCGGCAGACCTGCTTCCAAGCTCACTCACGTGCTTCTTTGACAGATTCACTTCTTCATGCGGTGTTGAGGTGAGAGCCTCAGTTTTCTTTGGCCGTTTGCTGAAGGCCACCTTCAGTTCTTTGCCAAATAGGCTTCTCTCCAGTATAGCAATTGCTTCATCAAAGCAAGCAAGCAAAGCCAGGAAGATGAGAAAGTGTCAGGAGGATGGAGGTCAGAGTCTTTATAACTTAATCCTGAAAGTGATATTCCATCACTTTTGCGGTATTCTGTTCTTAATGTCTAGTTAAGGGGAAGGCATTACAGAAGGGCATCTTTAACAAGAGGCAGGAATCATTCCAAGACATGTCAGAAGATGCCCACCATTTCTGTAAATCAGTTATAACTTTTTTTCTTAACGTTTAAAGGTTTACATTTGGCCAGGAAATAAGCTTTTTACATTAAAATGTGCTGCCTCGGGGCACCTGGGTGGCTTAGTCAGTTAAGCGTCCGACTTTTGCTTAGGTCATGATCTCGTGGTTCGTGGGTTCGAGCCCCGCGTCGGGCTCTGTGCTGACTGCCAGCTCAGAGCCTGGAGCCTGTTTCAGTCTGTGACTCCCTCTCTCTCTGACCCTCCCCTGTTCACACTGTCTCTCTCTCTCTCCTAGAAATAAATAAAACATTAAAAAAAAAATTAAAAAAAAAAAATAAAATGTGCTGCCTCAACCTTACTTCAGAGCTTTTAGAAGCATTCTTGAATTCTGGGAACAAGGCACATACTGAATTTGCCTATCCTAAGATCTGGAATCAGCAACTCTACAGGAACCTTGCTTCATTTTTTTCTTTTTAAGATTTTATTTGTAAGTAATCTCTTCATCCAGTGTGGGGCTCGAATTCACAACTCTGAGTTCAAGCATCACAGGCTCCACCAACCAAGCCCGCCAGGTGCCTCAAAAACCCTGGTTCATTTTAATGGAGAATAATGTTAAGACTCTGGGTTTAGAAACTCATACTACATTGTTGTTGTTGTTTTTAATTTTTTTTTTTACGTTTATTCAATTTTGAGAACAGAGAGTGCAGGCATAGGAGAGGCATAGAGAGAGGGAGACACAGCATCCGAAGCAGGCTCCAGACTCTGAGCTGTCAGCACAGAGAACAAGGTGGGGCTCAAACCCACCTCAACCGAAGTTTAACACTTAACCAACTGAGCCACCCAGGCACCCCCTTACTAAATTGTTTTTTATTAGTACTGGTGTTAAATTAGCCTTCTCCAATGGCAAGAGCCTGAAAATACACATATTTTTAAAATATCATGAATTTATTCTCATGGAGTACATTTATTCCAGTATTACAGCATAACATCTACTTGAATTTTAATCCCATACCTAAAAATATAATTTTATACACTATTTTAAAAATATGTATGAACCTTATTTCAGTTTTTTTTCATGTTTATTCATTTTTGAGAGAGAGACACAGAGTGTGGGAGGGTCAGAGAGAGAGGGAGACACAGAATCTGAAGCAGACTCTGAGCTGTCAGCACAGAGCACAAGGTGGAACTCAAACCCACAAACGGTGAGATCAGACCTGAGTCGAAGTTGGACACCCAACTGACTGAGCCACCCAGGCACCCCATATGAACCTTATTTTAAACTAAACATTAGAGGGATGCCTGGGTGGCTTAGTCGGTTAAGCGTCCGACTTTCGCTTAGGTCATGATCTCACGGTTCGTGGGTTCGAGCCCCACATCGGGCTCTGTGCTGACTGCCAGCTCAGAGCCTGGAGCCTGTTTCAGTCTGTGACTCCCTCTCTCTCTGACCCTCCCCTGCTCACGCTGTCTCTCTCTCTCTCCCCTAGAAATAAATAAAACATTAAAAAAAAAATTAAAAAAAAAATAAAGTAAACATTAGAGAAGAACACTGAAATTAAAAATGAAACAACTCAATGAATTGTAAGAAATAACACTACGGTTCCATTTGTGACCTTGTTAAAAGTTTTGGTTCTACTGTATACTTTTATCCAGTTTACTTATTTTTTAATCTAATGGTTTTAGTATTAATTACTTGATAGACTTTTAGCTGTTAGTTTTAGACTTATGAGTTAATATACATAAAATGCTTAAAGCAGTTTGGCACTTACATAGTGTCCTGGTATCCATAGTGGCCATACATACTATGGAGACTTAGTGTAATGTGTGGATACTGTGGATCCACATGTAAGTGTCCATGGGTTTAAAAATACATAAATACTCAATAATAACATTTTGAAAACTTTTCTTTAACATTTATTTTTGAAAGAGAGAGAGACAGAGTGGAGGAGGGGCAGAGAGAAAGAGGGAGACAGAGAATCTGAAGCAGGCTCCATACTCTGAGCTGTCAGCACAGAGCCTGACACAGGGCTCAAACTCACGAACTGAAAAATCATAATCCAAGCCAAAGTCGGACCTCTAACTGACTGAGCCACCCAGGCACCCCTTATAATGGCATTTTGGTATAGAAATTAAGGATAAAATCTATTTTTATCAGTCACATTTATGAGATGAGATAAAAACAAGTAATTTGGTTTCTAAAATTGTATACTAGAATTTTGTCATTTTTTAAAGTTTTATTTATTTTTTTAAAGTTTATTCATTGATTTTGAGAGAGAGTGAGGGCACACAAGTGAGCATGATCAGGGGAGGGATAGAGACAGAGGGGGAGAGAGAATCCCAGCAGACTTTGTTTGTACTGTCAGCGCAGAGCCCGACACGGCTTGATTTCACAAACCAGGAGATCATGACCTGAGTTGAAATCAAGAGTCAGACGCTTAATCAACTGAGTCATCCAGGTGCCCTGAGTACACTAGAATTTTATTTAGCCATTATTCAGTACAACTTTAATAACTAAGTGTATTGTCAGGTACTTGTATGTATACACACTTAGGTGAGATGAACTCAATTTGATTTTTATAGTTTAAAAGAATAAGAACTCAATTGTACTGGAATTCTGTGTTTTTAAAAGTTAATGCTAAAAATTTTTGGCTATAAATTCAGGGTATAATGTACTTTGTTTTTAAAACACACAGTTCATACCAGCTTAACTTTATTATTTTTTGAGAAGACATCTTTGTTATTTATTTTTCTCTTTTTCAAGTTAGCTACCAGTTGCTTTTTCCTATATACATTTGTCTCTTACTTAAAAATATCTTATATAAATTTCATATATATGTACACCATACTTTACAGTTTAATTAGAATTTCATCAAAACCTTTAAAACCTCAATTTCTATAACAAATTATATTCAGGAATATCATAGGTAATATATTCATCATCCTTCCACACTTTGGACTTTAGGAAGACCCAGTATGTTTTTATAGCTAAATAAGAAAACATGTAGGGCTCATATAATGATTAAGTGGTTAACAGTATATATCCTTTATTTTTTGACTAAGATTAGGTTACAAGTTACAAATGTGGGTGATTTTCCCAATCTGTGGGTAGCAAGATATCAGAGAGGGTGTGAAGTATTTAGGTTGGGTTTTAGAAGAGTAATAAAAAGAATATATATAAGTATCAGTTGACATATTGTCTCAGATTCTCCTTTAACTTCTTTTTGGGCAAAATACACATGTATATGCTAGTGACAACTTTTAAAATGGATCACTTTGTGCCAAACTCCTTTTGGGTTTTAAAAATCTTTAAGTAGATACAGATACATGTTAACTCAGCATGTTTTGTTCTACATTCTCATAGCCAATTGGTCAGAAACGGAAACAAGAAATGTTGTAAAAGCAGTATTTCCTTAAAAGTCTCATGTGCTTCTTGTTTACTCTTTTCCTTTTTGATAAACCTATTGTGATTTTAGTTAGAGTATGCTTGTAATCAGTGAAACTTGAGAATTCTGAATGGTGGGATAGTGATTCTTTTTTCTGCCTGTCTATATTTTGTCAAATTTTGTATAATGAGTGTCTTCTGTGTTTTTTTAATGCTTTTTTTTTTTTTTTTTTTTTTAGAGACAGACAGACAAAGCGCAAGCAGGGGAGGGACTGAGAGAGAGGGAGACACAGAATCTGAAGCAAGCCCCAGGCTCTGAGCTGTCAGCACAGAGCTCCATTTAGGGCTCAAACTGAAATCGAACGCTTAACCTACTGAACAGAAGAGGTGCCTTCTTCTGTTTTTGTAATGGGAATATACAATGATTTAAAATTTTAATACCTAGGAAGCTAAATGCATTCATTAGTATAGCATTTTTGTAAGATTTCTTACATAGCAAACTTGCCTACCCTGTAATAATATGTAAAATAAGATGATTAATGTAATTTTCTAAGAATATATTTATATAGATTGATAACATTAATAAGCAATAGCATCATTACTTTAATCCATCTTTGGGTTAACTATTGTATATGTGTTCATCATTTGTATTGTCATGTGTTTTTTTAAAATCTAGATGAGAAATATTCGATTATCTGACTTCACTGAATCCTTGAAAAAGATAAAACGCAGCGTGAGCCCTCAAACCTTAGAAGCATACATACGTTGGAACAAGGACTTTGGCGATACTACTGTTTAAGGAAAGACCTTTGTAAGCCTGCAGAGCATTTTGCTTTTGAAGAAAGAAATACACCATCTTCATTGAATAGTGATAAGCTACAGAAATTCAGCCTAAGTTTACAGGACTTTTCAGAGTCTTACAATTACTTGTGCACCCCAGCAGATGAACCATACAAGAAATTTAAATAAAATATACAATGCAAATTGAGTATTTTGTTGAAGGCCTTCTTGCCTATGTTGATAGTTATCCCAGTGGGCACTGTAAGTTAGAGCACAACAAAAACTGATTCTGGTCTTCTTTACCAATATAATCATAATGTAAATAATAATTTGTATATTGTGTTGCAGATGAAAGTATTCAAGAGACAGTGAATGGTAGAAGACACAAGCGCCTTTGGTTGTTTGTCTTCTGATGTCTTTTCTTAAAATAGTAATTTTTCTATTTTCCTTTCCTACTGTTGTCTTTACTACAGATGATTAAAATACCAAACACTCTACTTTTTCTTTTCTCTTTACAAATCCAGTGTGCCAAATGAAACTTCTTCCTATGTAACAGTAATAGGAAAAAGTGTTTTGAAGGTTTTTTCTTTTTCATAAATCTATAGACAGGATACAATTGCATTTTCACTTTTCTGTTACCTTGCTGCCATTTTAGAAAGCCATTTGTTGATACCAACAAAGCAAATCTAGTAATACAGAAAAGGAGAAGGTTAGAAGGTTTGAGTCACTCTGTCATACAACGTGTAGATCAATCCTCATGTGACCTGCAGTATTTGTTTCTAATATATTTGTCAGAAATCTGTTGTAGACTGTTAATTTATTCCTAATGGAGTTTATTTTCTGCCGGATTATTCTAATATTTAAGAAGGTCAATTTTAACTGCCATAAAAGTGGTTCCTGTGTGAGAGAAGGGAAGTACTGAGAGCTAAGACATTTCTAATTTATTGCTTATTGCTTTCTTACTGTTTACAGGATAATTATAAGCCAGTGGATCTACCATCTTTTATTCCTAAAAATGATTAATCCCTTCAATGAAACTTTAAAAATTACTGAATTTTTATACATTGCATACATTTTATAGGTTTCTTGTGCTCACTTTGTTAACTAAAAGTTAGTCTGTTAATCTGCCTTTTGTTCCCCCAAAATGTACAGTAATTCCGTTTCTTGTTTGTATAAGTATGCCTGGATTTTATTATAAAACTGTCATTGTAGGAAGTAGTGACTCATATCATGGCTTTTTAAATATTGTAATAAAGGCAAATGGATATTTGCCCTTAGTTTACTGGTTAAAAGTTTGTTTACAGAAATTTTCTTTGGTGCTTTTGTGTAAGATGTCCTGGGTGGAAAGAATAATTTTATAGTAGTAACAAAGATTTTTTTCATTTAGGGAAAATCCCTTTGGTGTTGAGAGAATACATTAAAAACTTGCCCTAGCTCGATAAGAATTTTATAATGAAGACATACATTCTTCTAAAATTTCCTCTTGTTCCTGTCAAAGATTGATGTAAATATAGAAGGTGTATCATTTCTTAAGATAATATGCTATTTGTAGCTGTAATTTAAAAGTCTCTTCTAATCATGACCTTAGAACTCCCTAGGTAACAGAAGTGAGACTTGAGATAAATAGAAAAAAATTTTTCAAGCCAGAACCATGCCTATTTTCAGTCATATGTTGTATCTTTTTAAGGTCTCAAACATTAAAGCATCAATTATAAAATCTTGATGATGAAAGATTATGCATTATACATATATGATGACAAGATTGGGGATATCCAAAGTGAAGACATTTTCAATAAAGCTCATAAAATTTCACTTGTATTTTCAATTTAGAAAAGGATTAACATTATTCATATGTGAACAACTGTTTAGTCAAATTAAAGGTCTGTGTGCCTCAAGCTCAACTTATAAAATATCTTTAAAATTATCATGATTCTACGTGCAGCAGTTTAATGTAGCTCACTATTTATATTAAAATAGTTTTTAGATAACAAAGATTTCAAATGTTAAAAGATAGGCAAGTTAATATAGTCCTAAACACTGAGTCAGAATTCTGTTATTGTATGAATAACCATACAGTATAGAAATTATTTTACTTCCCTGACTAAAGACTGAAGTTGAGCTTAGAGCTAGGGAACTACTTTCTGTGACTTACTATGACCAAGTTTTATTTTAAGCTTTTTTTTTTTTCTCCCATAGAAGGATCATGAAAATTGGAGGTGTAAGGGATTGGTCTGGTCTTTTTAAATAAAGATCGAAGTTGTTGAGGCTTTCTGAATTAATATTAGATTATGACCTTTTGGATTCTGCATTGAGCTCTGTGTCATATTAACGTCATGAAAGGCAATGCTTAAAATTCAGTGTTAGTGTGCTCATGTTAACATGGCAGAGTTTTGTGAACGACATTAAAACTTAATGATGTACTGGACTTTGAGCCAGAGGTAAGAATCAGTACTGTCCTTGCAGATATCTTAAGGGTAAAAGCTTTTTTGTTTGTTTGTTTTTTTAAATGTTTTTACTTAGTTTTGAGAGAGAAGACAGAGTTCAAGCAGGGAAGGGGCAGAGAGGGAGAGGGAGACACAGAATCTGAAGCAGGCTTCAGGCTCTGAGCTGTTAGCACAGAGCCCAATGCAGGGCTCAAACCCATGAACCCCAAGATCATGACCTGAGTCAGAGTCAGACACGCAACTGACAGATGGCCAGCCAGGCACCCTGGGTAAAAGTTTAGTCTAAGACAGTCTACCCACTGAGGTTATTGGATTTCTGACTATGCTTTGTGCTTGGGAAGAAGTGGAGGAAAAGCAGATACTAGCATTACAATGTAAGTAAATATGCAGCAGTCTTTGTTTATAAGCTAGAATTCTTTATATTTTGTACAAAAATGAACTCTTTTGGTAGAATGAGCCTTTTATAGGTTGGTTTTGGACCCTTAAGTCAAAGGATTTTCCTTGAAATACTTGTCTCAAATTTTAATTTGGTCTTTTGTATTTTTCTACAGGGAAGATATGAAAGGATTTAGCTACATAAAGTGGGTTTCTATCCTAATGTGGAAATAAATGATAAATTTTATTTTACCTTTAATTTGTTTATTTGAAACAAGGTTTCAGAGGTTGCATTCTAGCAGTTGCTTGTATTGGACTAACTCTTGCCAATAATTATAAACTGAAGAAAATATGAAAAGCAATAATTAGAAGACTCTGAAGAGCAAGCAGGAATAGGCAGAAATTGCACAAAATTGTGTACTCAAAGAGATCCACATTAACTAGCTTTTGGCCCAAGGGCAATTTCCAGTTTGTGCAGTGTGTTTAGAAATAGACTTCAAGCAGAATGTCTTTCTGGGCTGAGGAGTCATTTGGGGCTTGTAGAACAGCTGGGAATTAGAGAAATCCTGGAGAGAATTTCAGAACTATAAACTCTAGAAAATGCATATAAATGTCTTTCACATCCTTGGTGGACTCCAAAATTGTACTTGTGCAGTATAATAGTCAAACCTAGCAGAAAGCAATAGTTGAAGTCTAACGAACTGTAGAGAAGTTATGGAGTTTGAAATTTAAGTTCCACTAAGATATGTTTAGTAAATATTTTGGATTTCCCATTCAAATCCAAAAAGGACCATAATAAGGTGGAAGCACAACATCCTAGACCTAAGGACCATAGTTTTGTTAGGACTGTGGGCAAAAGGATAAACTCACTGTAACAAAGCTTAAAATAAAGCTTTCACAGCATCAAGATTATCCATTGGTAATTTAAGAGCTAGCCAGAAGAAAACACACATTTTAGAAGAAAATAGAATCCAGAGTCTTCACAATATGTCCACAGAGTCTAGTACACAGTAAAAAAATTAAGCATACAAAAAAATTAAATCCACAATCAATAGAAAATATATAGAAGCAAATGCAGAGATGACCTACAGGTTGAAATTAACACAATTATTTTAAAACAGCTTTATTACTTCTTAATAGGAAAGAAAAGATGGAGGAACAGATTAGGATTTTCAGTGGAGAAATAGAAATTAAAAACCAAATGGAGGGGCGCGTGGGTGGCTCAGTCGGTTGAGCATCTGACTTTGGCTCAGGTCATGATATCACAGTTTGTGGATTCGAGCCCCGTGTCAGGCTCTGTGCTGACAGCTTAGAGCCTGGAGCCTGTCTTTGGATTCTGTGTCTCTCTCTCTGACCCTTCTTTGCTCACGTTGTCTGTCTCTCTCTCTAACCCTTCTTTGCTCACGTTGTCTGTCTCTCTCTCAAAAATAAATTAAAAAGAAAAACTTTAAATACCAAATGGAAAGTCTGGTAATGAAAAATAAAAATCTGACATGAAATCTCTAGTATCTAAATTTTCACAGGATGGGTTCAGAGTACACTGGGACACAACAGAGGAAAGAAAACAAAGACATGCCAATACAATTACTAAATTCGAGCACCAAGAAAGAAAAAAAAATAGCAAAGGTTTGATACCTTTGGGACAATATCACTTTTTTTTTGTTTTACTTTATTTTTAATTCATGTGGAATTTTTGTTTTTTGTAAATTTTTATTTGAATTCTAGTTACTTAACATATAGTGTAATATTGGTTTCAGGAGTAGAGGACAATATCAATCTACCTCTGGTTTGAGGATCCAAAAGTAGAGGAGAGGAAGAGAATGGGGCAAAAGAAACATTTGAAGAAGCAGTAATACCTAAAGTTTCCCATTAGGTATTACTTGAATATAGAAAGACATCAACTTACAGATTCCAAAAGTTCAGTGAACCCCAAGGAGAATAAATACAACAAAGACCACTTCTGGATACCAATTGAAAAAGCAAAAATATTTTATAATCAGCCAGGGAGGGGAAATGATAATCCGTTCAAACAATCATTGACCCTAGAGTATAGACGAACCAAAATGGTATATGAACAAGGCAGGGAATGTCCTCATAAAGGCCCAGGATAACCAAGGCATAATTTGACCAATCACTTTTTCAACAATTGATTGCCAGCCTAATGGAACTTCCAATTGCTAGGTCTTATTGAATTGAAGGTTTAGCAGGTTTATACTCTACATTTGTTTACTTTGGAACTTTCCCTATACATTAAACAGAAATAATGTGAACAAAACACGTGCAACAAGACTGTAATACAGATAAACAATAGCAAAAAAGCTGGATGGAGAATAAGTAGATTAACAGCAAAAATACTTTCAAAATAAAAAGTCTAATGACTTCATACAAAGATCTAGGTCTAATTACAAAATAGTGTACGTCCAAACTAAAAAGACTATTACATAACCCATTTCTGTGTTTTTATTCCTACTTTGTTGAGTGTTTTTCCAATTAGGGGTGTTGGATTTGTCAAATGCTTTTTCTGCATCTATGGAGATGACCATGTGATTTCTGTCCTTTATTAATATGGTGTATTACACGAATTTTCATTATGTTGAACCAACTTTTCATTCCTGTGATAATTCCCACTCACTCCTGCTGTATGACTCATTTTATATGATGGTAGGTTGGTTTTGCTACTTTGTTGAGGTTTTTTGCATACATACTCAGACAGAATGTTGGTCTGTAGTTTTCTTGTCTTTGTCTCCTTTTAGTATCAGGGTAATTCTGGCTTTGTAGAAGGAATTGGAGAGTCTTCCCTCTTATTTGAGGGAAAAGTCTGTGAATGGTTGGTGCTATTTCTTTAAATTTTTGGTGGAATTCACCAGTAAAGCTATCTTTACCTGAGCTTTTCTTTGTGGAAAGTTTTTTTTTTTTTTAATTATAAATTAAGTATTTTGTTAAATGTCTAATTGAATTTTCTATTTCTTCTGGAGTCTGTTTCAGACATCTGTGTCTTTATAGAAATTAGTCCATTTCATCTAAGTTACCTAATTTGTTGGCATCCAATTGTTTATAATATTCCCCTATTATCCTCTTTATTTCTGCAAGACCTATAGTAAAATGTCTTCTTTCTTTCCTAATTTTATTAATTTGTCTTCCATTTCTTGGTCAGTCTAGGTAAAGCTTTGCCAATTTCACTGATAATTCCAAAGAACCAATTTTTGTGGTTTTGTTTATTTTTCTATTTTTCTATTCTCTACTTATGTATTTCCTCTCAAAGCTTTATTAGTTGCTTCTTTTTGTTTGCTTTAGTTCTTTTTTAAAATTATGGTGGAAAGTTAGATTACAGATGTGAGGTCTTTCCTCTTTTTAAAATATAGGCATTTACATGGGGTGCCCGGGTGGCTCAGTTGGTTGAGCGTCTGACTCAGGTCATGATCTAACAGTTCGTGGGTTCAAGCCCTACGTTGGGCTCTGGGCTGACAGTCAGC